ACCTGAGCATAGGTACAACGGGGAACCCCAGAAAAAATTGAAATATGTATCGTCTCGCATAACTTTAAAACCACATAAAATTAAACCGCACAAAAACAGACTTGACTGTATAAAGGGAAAGAACCGATCATTTACGCATTAAAAATAATTTTGTGTACTAGTTTTTTTTTAGAATTTATTTTTATTTTGCTCAATTAAAATTTAATTTGTTTTGAAACTTTCAAACCGGACTATAGTGAATCCGGACTGATCGAAACCGGACTATGCGAGGTATTGTTGTACTGTTATGTTGACGGCCAAACATTTTCTCTTTACCTAAGAATTCTGTTCTTTTTTAAGAGTTTTATCTTCTGGGATACAATGCCGTCTGGTCCGTTGCAAGTCAACCGACGTTTCAGAGGAACATGTCGCCTCCATCCTCAGGCTCGAAGAATAAACCAAGCAAGAACCAGAATGAAGTAGGTTCTGCTTGCTATAAATTCCGGACAGAGCAGTCAGTCCCTGACCGGGATTCAAACATTGTTCGCCTTGAATGCGAGCCTGATACGTTTTCACTATGACAACCTTTACGTTTCTTTTTATGCTGGATATTAAATTTCGTTATTATTTGAGAAACGATAGGCGAAATTTCTGCTTTCCACAGGGAAGTGAAAATGAGGGTTCTGCCATCAAATTCGATTAAGGTAAGAAGGTAAATATATTCCTGTCAGGGGCCGTGAAGGCCTATAAGGTTGTGAGACGTCGAGGCTCCCACACCTTCTAGACAATCGGCTCAGCCTTATGCACCGACAGCAAGTTGGCTCGAGCGGTGACGCTATTGACTTCTATTCGGGAGGTGTCCAGTTCAAATCTTGGCCGAGATACTGATTATCCTGAGGTTTTCCATATTTTTCTTCAGCATCTCCAAGCAAATGTCTGGATATAACTTCAAATTAGACCACGAGAATTTCAATTCATATCCTTTCGATTTATTGTTCACTAATCCTTTCTCACTGGGAAGACCAAGGCATATGTGGGTGGATAATATTAACATGGATCTTAGAGAGATGGGATGGTATGGACTGGATTGATCTGGCTCAGGATAGGGACCCAGTGGAGGGCTCTTGTGAACACGATAATGAAACTTCGGAGTCCATAAAATGCTGGGGAATCCTTGAATAGCTACAGAATTTGCGGTTCCTCAAGAAGGGCCCATCTCCCTGAGTAGGTAAGTAAATCCTCATTTCTACGTGTGTGCTTACTGTTTTTTATCAGAGTTTTGGACAAAAATATTGCATTCCTTCCCATATTTCGCACGCGTGCAACAAATCCCATTCATATAATCTTTATGATAGCTACCAAAATTTCGGGATAATTTATTGTCTTCATCTTCTCTTTCGAATTCTTCTCTGAAGATTCAGGAGACTTGTTCCTCCTAAACTTTGGTTTCCGCCTACTAGAATACATGGTGTCATATCTGAGAATGCCTCAGCGTGAACGTCCACCGCCCTCAAAACTCATGTTATGTACCTCATATTCTGAACTACCTTCCAGGCCTTTGCGTACTCTCTGACTGCAGATGGAACATGTAAGGTCTAAAGGTTTCACAGCGGTGGTTACGAAGAGTTATATCTTCTGAGAAATAACGCCGTGTAGTCCGTTGAAAGTCAGCAGACGTTGCGGAGGAACATGTGGCCTCCATCTTCAGGGTCGATGAAAAAGTCAAGCAAGAAACCAGCGTGAAAACATGTGGCTCGCGGCTGTATGGCGTTATGTCCCAGAAGGTAACTCTTCAAACGGAAAATACTCGTTATTAGTGCGAATCCTTGAGAGCCAGATTTGTAACGATAAGGACACACCTTACAACAGGAATGACATTGAGGAAAAACATATCATTAATTCTGAAGCTGTAGCAGTCATGAGGTAAGCAGCAGTCGACACAATGTCAAGGGCGGTCGGTCTGTCCTTCGATGACGCAAGCTTTTGTCGGTTAAACTGCTAGACTGGTCGTGATACTCGATACGTGTACAGTGGGCATTGCATTATGTTCGTTTCAAAATAATAAGGAAATCATACGCAATGCATTCTAATCATGATTCATTGTCTCTGTCACTACATCTGCTCTCTACGGCAACTGCATCAAGCAGACGAGCGCAGCGGTCACTTTGGTATGCATCCTTCATCTTCAAAACTACTGAAAGGAACTGTGTGAAATTTGCTACTGAAGTCTACATAGCAAGACTTCTATCTTCTGAGACGTAGCGCCGTGGAGTCCGGTAAAATTCACAGGAGTTTTGAAGGATCGTACTGCCTACATCTTCAGGATCGAAGCAAGAAACCAGTGCCGCTTGGACCTTGCTGGTTTCTTTTTGGCTTACTTTTAGATCCTGAAGGTGGAAGCGACATACCTCTCCGAACTATACGGAACTACAACCCGAAAGACCATACTCTTCATAGTCACAGTTTTGTGAACCTCAAATCCAACACATTTATGACATTTGCTGTGTGATTTTTATGCGATTAGCTTTGAAATGGTAGATTTCAGCGAGTAATTTGTTCCATTCCTCTAATTTTCCTTCTTTTTATGTACTGCCAAGGTATAGGCCATAAAGCCTGATCCGAAACTCGCTGCAAGCACAGAAATTTCGGAGATTAACAGTTGTTGCGCGGATGGGGCCACAGCTTTTACATAAATGCTACCGGAACGACTAGGAACTTTGATTTGGGGGTGTTCATGCCCAAGAGAAACTACCTTCACTACAGCTATCGAGCCTGTTTTTTTATATTCATCAATATGCATATTGTGCCATGACGCTTGAGAGGCGAAATAGAGGAGACAGAGAGACGCCCTTGCTAAGTGAGTCGTGTCGCCGCGCGTTCCGGCACGAGGTGGACAGCGCCGCTGCAGTGGAACACGTGATAGCACGTCTCCCACAACAGATGAACGGTGTTTTCTGTTGGGTCCGTACAGAGAATCGAAACACAAGAAAATAGATCTACTACGAGATTCTGTAGTTCAAACAGGATCGCTTCTTCAAAATTCCCCCAAAATTTATGAAATAGCCCCAAGTGGAGAAAATTAGAGGATAGAGTTGAAGCAGACAGGCACACCCTCTGCAAGTTTCTGGATGGACAGGCGCTATTTATCGGCTTATTTCACAAGTAAGCGGCAACATACAAGGAAATGAGGGACGGCCTTCAACCGAGCAGCTTGGAATCGACATTCTTCACAGGCAGTAAAAAACAACCGACCAAAAAAGAGACGGAAACTCTGAAGATAGGTGCTGCACTAAGAAACAGAACATGCCACTTTCAACTTACCAAACCCCACGGCCGTTGGCAACGATTAACTCCTTTACGCCACTCAGGGACTTCCATGTGGAAAATTCGGAGCCAGGCAGCGAAGGAAACTCGACTGAAACACCTGCAACAAACGAGAGTCCGAGCATTAACAGCTGCGGTCAACTTAGTCTCCAGAGAGAACTGGGAAGTGTCGTGAGCGGAGAGTTCTTCCGGAACTCTGCAACAGGAACACGGATCACAACTAAAAGTACGGCGGACTACAACACCGTACAGAAATTCCTCACTGAGAAAAATATCCACTTCTTTTCATTTTACACAAAGGCGTATAAACCTGTTGAAGTCATCAGGCAATTGACTGGCAATGTTTCTGCAGACGACGTCACTGTGACCCTCCAGGAGATAGACTATGGCGTCATCAGTGTGAAACAGATGACTGCCACTTCAGAAGGAGGGAGCACACACGCTAGCAAGGAATCAAAAAGCTCCAGAAATCATCAAATTGGCAATGCTCTGTATTATAAGTTATAAAGGTTGAAGCTTATAAACCCCAAAACGGGCTTACACGTTGCTACAATTCTCAGGGTTTTAGTCATATCTGGGTGCACTACAGGCAGCCTCCTCGCTGCCTGTGTTGTAGAGTGGACATCACCCTCATTGCCCAGAGAAACAGAATTCAGAGAGTCCCTCAACCTGCTGTATGTAATTGCGAGTTGCAACACTGGGAATCCCCGCACCCAGCAAGTTACAGAGCCTGCGTCATGCAAAACAGGAATTACAGGACAGAAGGAACCTGCGAGAGAAAACACGGGGGGTCAGGAGAGAGAATATTCTTCTCAAAATACACAACAGATACATATATAACATTATCATCAGCTTCAAGAATTAAGCCCAATGATTTGTGGCTGTTCCCATTAGATTTTTAACATCAGTCCATCTGTTTGTAGGCTTCTCAATATAGGCTGTCAACATAACAGCAAAAAATAACCAATCGAATTGTGTACATTGGTTTTATTTATTAACTGCGACCTGTTCAGGTCCACATTTGGGACCATCTTCAGGCAGTTTCATTAAATAAAACCAATGTAAACAATTCGATTGGTTTATTTTTGTTGTTGTGCTGACGGCCAGAAAACCACAAATCATGATACACAGCAGGATGCAAACAGTAAAAGTTCTCAACAATTCCTTTTCCTACAAAGTTGAGGGCACGCGGTAGCGTAGTTGGTTGAGGCACTATGCTACAATCCAGAAGGTCGCGGGTTCAAGTCCCGATGAAGTTATTGGATTTCTTCTATTTACCTAATCCTTCCAGCCGCACTATGGCCCTGGGATCGACTGAGCCTCTAACGGAAATGAGTACCAGAAATATTCTTGGGGGTAAAGGGCGGCCGCCGCGTAAAACTGACAAACTTACCGCCATCTTTGAGCCGATTGTCTAGAAAATGTGGTACCCTCAACGTCTCACAACCTTATGGGCCTTCACGGCCTGTTACTGGGGTAGCTTTACTTTACTTTTTACTGCTATAGACTAATGAAGCTCTCGACACGAGAATGTAACTTTCCTAAATGCACCATCTAATTGAAATTCTTAAGGTTACAAATAAACTTGCGTGTCCCTACACCATCGTGAATGGGGGGGGGGCGGTTTGCAGCGAGTGGGGATCCTTAGCAAATACATATAACGCAAGGCACCTGTGGACCTTGAATGGAAAGAGCATTAGAGGTCGAGCAGGTATCTTCGAAAGTGCGTTCTTCCACGCAAGATAACACAGATCGTTGTAGTCAGGAGACGGAGCGGACATGAAGGTGAGTGCACAATAGTATCAAGCTATTAATATTCTGCTGTTTCAGTCTCTTAACCTCCTGAAGACACCTGTTTCGTTTAGACAGTTGTGTGACCCTTCTGGGACTTCAGGACCAGACACTGTATTAAGATATTTTCTTGCAAAGTGCAAGTCGGAGACGAGCGAAATACATTACAGGACCATTTTATCAGAAGGATTCTTCCTTCAGATTTAATATACATATATATACAGAGTGTTTCACGACTTTATGGCATAACTGCAGGAGGTGATTTCCTAGGTCTTTGTGATGAAAAAAGTTCATAAAAACATGTGTCGGATTTTGGACGGTTACAGAGTTATTCCCTAAAGTCGGAGTTAGACCGTTCTTTCATTCCCGTACACGCCCTCGTGTGAACCGCGGCTGTCAGCTGGCGGCTCGCTATTTTTAGCCAGCTACGGACAGAGCGTTCTCGTTATCTCGACACTTGAGAGCTACCTAAGGCTGGGTGGGTTGGTATGTCCGGCGCGGTTCACAACCGAGCGGCAGCCTGTGTTGCAGCTGGCGGTGACATTCTCGAAAATCAGATTTAAGCACCAATAAATTCAAATTAAAGGTAATTTCACGAAGTTAACTTTACATTCATACTTTAAATGTATCATGTATTATACTGGTTTATTATTTTGTTCCGTTTATTGTCAGTAATCGTTACCTTCTATTCTGAGTTTAAAACGGTCATAACTCCGTAACCGTCCAAAATCGGACACATGTTTACGTGAACTTTTTTGATCACAAAGACCTAGGAAATCACCTCCTGCAGTTATGCCCTAAAGTCGTGAAACACCCTGTATATGTATATATATCTTTATAAGAAGATTAAAAACTTAAATTAATTTTTGTTCTTATAAAGGTAGCCTAAAGGAAACTACATAATGCAGAGCTTCATAACTTGTACTCTTCACCAAGTATAATTATAGTGATCAAATCAGGGAGGATGAGGCGGGAAGGGAGAAGAAGTATGCATATAGGATATTAGTGGGAAAGCCAGAAAGAAAGAGACCACTAGGAAGACGAAGACGTAGTTGGATGAACAATATTAAAATGTAAGATTTGAGGTCTTCACGGCGGTGACTATGATGAAATCAGTCTTCTAGGTTGTGGCGCTGTGTAGATATAGTGTTAACCGACGTTTCGGAGGATTTCAACTTGTCTTCTACCCTGACGATGGAGGTGATACGTTCTTCCGAAACGTCTGTTAACACTATATCTACACGGCGCCGCATCCCTGAAAACTGCTTTCATCACTATTAAAATGGATCTTAGAGAGACAGTGTCGGATGGAATGTACAGGATCGATCTGGCTCAGGATAGGGACCAGTGGAGGGCTCTTGTGAACACGGTAATGAACCTTCGGGTTCCATAAAATGCTGGGAAATTCTTGGGTAGCTGCACGATTGGTTGCTTCTCAAGAAGAGCTCGGCTCCATGAGTGAAAGAAAGGTAGCCTAAATCGTAAAGGCAGGGGTACTATCTGGCATGCAGTTCACGTTGAAGTTAATGTATATTAATCAAAATACGAATATGTTCTCGTTGTTGCCTAATGATGGCTTTTCTCTTTTCAATTCAGTATCGAATGACTACTGCTCATGAGAAGCATACATTTAGAGGTCGAATTTTAGCATCCTGTTGCAATTGTTATTAGAATTTATTTGCATTTGAAGAATGCCGTATTCTTGGATGTGACGCCGTATAGATCTTGTGTAAACCGACGTTTCGGATGATCGTTTCGCCTCCATCTTCAAGGTGTAAAATTCTGCGAGCTAGGAGATACGTCATGAAAATTCAAATTTAGGGTGTTATAAAGACAGATAGTCGAATTTATAGGGCCGCATAGCCGTGTCATAGCTCAAGCGGTTAGGCGCTGGCTTCCCACCGCGGCGGCCCGGGTTCGATCCCGGGTCTGGTCAAGTGGGATTTGTGGTGGACAAAGTGGCGCTGGGGGGGGGGGGGTTTCTCCCAGTACTTCGGTTTCCCCTGCCAATCTTCATTTCATCAAAATTCTCCATCATCATAATCACCCGAGGTAGGCACAATAGGTTAATAAGTGGCCGCCGTGCCGAGTGGACACAGCTAGACTCCATCACCCACTAAGCGAATTAAAAAAAAATTATACGGCTGCATGGAATTCATTTGTCAAATATTCAAAACTATCACAGATCAGAAAAGAATAACTATCTAACTTACTAAGCAACAAATTTGAGCAGAGCCCGTCTTCTATAGCTAATAGGCGCTCAGCTAGTAAAGAATTTCAAGCATTTTATCCGCCACTGATCTCTATCTTGAAGCAAATAAATCCAGTCCAAATCCACCTATCATATTGTGACATGTTGACCCCTACCTCCCCAGCTGCACGTAGCGGTAACGTAACGCTCGCGTAATAGGCGAGTAATCACCCCGCATCCTGGCAGCTATGCGCGGTGACGTCACGAGCGGAGCCGAAGAGAGCCGAGCGGAGCCGAAGATAGCCGAGCCCCGCAACCTGGTAACTATGCAAGGCGAGTCAACAGCGGTGACGTAACAGGATGACGTGGCACTCATTACGCAACAAGCAAGCACTGCAGCTATATAAGTGAGCTGCACAGTGGCTGCGAGCGAGTTATAAAGTAACAGTCGCCGAGTTGAAACATAGCAGCCTGCGAGTGTGCGATACTTAAGAAGTCAGCGAGCGGAAGACTTTTCGTGTGCTTTCCAGACATAGTGAGTGCTGTAGTACAGTTATACTCGGAGTGTGTAATTCAGGGAGACTGGTATAGCTCCCGCGTTATTAATACTTGAAGACTCTTGAAGACAGTGTTAAAAGATTGTGTTGTAGGGTTTGTAAACTGTGGAAACCTGTAACGTTGTGATAATTAATTGTAGCCGTTATTTGTAGATTGTTAAATAAACCAATTAACGATCTCTACGGCATATTCAGCAACGAAACACGTTACACTATTTTTTAAGATCCATTTTAAACCATCCTCCCATCTGCGCTCAGGGTCTCCAAGTGACGCCCTTCATTCAGGGTCTTCTACGAAAATTTTTATCGGTTTCTCTTCCATGCATGCTACATGTTTCATCCATCTCATCTTTCTTGGTGTCATCATTCTAATAACACTGACGCAAGAGTACAGATTATGAAGATGCTTATTTACTTACTCATGGAGCTGAGCCCTTCTGGAGGGGCTGCCAATTCTGCAGCTACTCAAGAATTTCCCAGCATTTTATGGAACCCGAAGGTTCATTATCATGTTCACAAGAGCCCTCCACTGGTCCCTATCCTGAGCAAGATCAATCCAATTCAAACCATCCCATCCTTTCTCTCTAAGATCCATTTTAATATTGTCAACCCACCTACGCCTTGGTCTTCCCAGTGGTCTCTTTCCTTCTGGCTTTCACACCAATATCCTATACGCATTCCTCGTCTCCCCAATTCGTGCTACATGCTCTGCCCACCTCATCCTCCTTGACTTCATAATTCTAATTATACTTGGAGAAGAGTACAAGTTATGAAGCTCCTCATTATGCAGTTTTCTCCAACCTCCTGTCACTTCATCTCTCTTTGGTCCAAATATTCTCCTCAACACCCTGTTCTCAAACACCCTCAGTCTATGTTCCTCCCTTAATGCCAGAGACAAAGTTTCACACCCATACAGAACCACAGGCAAAATTATAGTTTTGTATATTCCAATTTTTATATTTTTTGACAGCAGACGAGAAGACAATAGGTTCTGGACTGAATGGTAGCAAGCGTTACCCGAATTCAACTAATTCGTATGATATTCAACGGCACAAAATATTTTCAAGAGCATAGAAAAAAGTTGTTACTATACGAATACCACTTTCTAGTGATCTACGCGTATATTTCTAAGTACAGATCCGCTTATGTTGCAAACAACAGAACTGAGACAACTTAAGAAGCATCACGGTGCCTCAGTATGCCACCATGACATATGCTGTAAGAATCCTTATGCAACTGTTCCAAACACAAAGTCAATATTATCGCAGCACTTTGCTGCATTTGGAACACACAGAATTGGAGTGCGAATGAAACCATACAAAAAAGCAGGTGATTTGTCTCGCAGGCAGAGACGGAGCTAAGATTTCGACAAACCAACCCAATGGATATTCAAGTGTTTAACACTAAACACGAAGAAAAGCTTTAAATATTATTTCGTAATAGGAAGATGGACATTCAGAGTTTAATGACTTTATGTGTTCTCTGCACGAGGTGTAGAGAAAGGGACGGCCATGTTTGACCGGCAGCCCGTCCATGCATCAACTGGAGAACGGATGGACGGAGCTTAATGATATTTGATACCTACGCTTAAATATGCCATTATAGGTGAATCCAGTTTCATAGTTTTTAATTTCCTACAGTACGTAGTAGCAGCGTAGTAGACACACGAAGTGGTGAAGTAGAAATGACAGCAGCGCCATTACAGACATGCGGCGACTACAATAACCAACAGTAATCATGGTAGCCATAGCGTACTTCTTATTTCTCTTCATTCTTTTAGGAATTAGACACTCTGGCATGTTCCCGTTAAGAATTAATCTGAAATAAAGCGTTTTACAGACAGCTGGCAGGACCTTTTCGACGGGTGATCGCCCCTTTGCAAGGCCGTTACCTACATAGGACAACACAAACACAGGAAAGAAAGCGGACATACATCAATGCCTTGTTTGGATTCGAACCCACGATTCCAGTGTTCAGCGGGGAGAAGAAAATTCGTGCCTTAGACCGCGCGGTCCCTGTAATCGACCCATAGTATATTAACCTGTCTAGAATAGTAATACGAATAGTTATAGTAACCAAAGTAACAATAGTGAACATCCCTTTACTTACTTACTCATGGAGCTAAGCCCTTCTTGAGGAACCGCAAATTGTGCAGCTACTCAAGAATTTTCCAGCATTTTTTGGAACTCGAAAGTTCATTACTGTGTTCACAAGAGCCCTCCACTGGGCCCTATCCTGAGCCAGATCAATCCAGTGCATACTATCCCAGCCTATCTCTCTAAGATCCATTTTAATATTGTCCATCCACCTACGTCTTGGTGCGAACACATTCCTTTAGCTTTATAAAATGAATTTTGCGGAAGTGCGAATTCAGAATGCCAAGGTACAATCAACACACATGGAGAGTGGTTGCACTCCGGTACGGACTGAATCTTTCCACTCTTGTTCTAGCTGTGTTTATGTTTCAGATATATCTGTTGTTACTGATTTGCCTCACGGTGAAACTTGTGGTCGTTGAAGCCACAGAGAACACCACGGCCAATATAGAGGAAGAAGAAACTATTGCTCCAAGATCTGGACTGGTATCGGACATTGTTGGAGGAATTACGAAACCTCTAAACGTTCTCTTGCCACCGAAAGCCAAAGAAGCCATCGTATCTCCAGTAAAGGACGTTGCTGATGTACTAGATGCCAAGTTGAAGGCTATATATCCAGGTAAATTATGTATTTAGTATGGCTGAGAGTCTATTAACCCTTTAAATTCCAATAGTAACTATAAGTGTCAGGTGTTTTAAGGCAAGAAGTTTCTGCCTTCTGTCCACAGAGTGTATTTGTGTGTTTCGTATAGCTACCACAGTAAGCAGAGATTTTATCCCTAAACATCATTAACAGTTTGCCCGTTGTAGCCGAAATGTAATGTTTCCTGTGAGGTACGAACTGAATCTTTATATATAATTTAGAACAATTTGTCGTAAAGTACACGTAAGATAGGCATGATCTGTTTGCAAAGCCTGTATTGACAAAGGACTTGTGTAATTTTCTGTCGTCCAGTCGATTCAGTCAATCCAATGGAAATTAAGGAACATTCCGGTGCTTACGTCATCCGACTGACTTGTAAGGCATGATTCACAGACGACAAAACTTCCTGCAAGCAGGTGTATCTGCTGGATATGAGAGTGGGTGAACGCCAGAGCCGTTCTGATAGAGATACAGAGATAAACCTTGAAGATCCTAAAGGGAATTGAAACCCGCCCGCCCGTCTTAGTGAACTATAATTGCGACTGTTGAGCCCTATGGTTTCAGGAACTCAGTGGTGTGGAGACGGCAACCGGGCAAGGAGCGCTGAAGATCTGGGGTTGTTCAAACTGACTGACGACTGTTGCAGGGAGCACGACAACTGCCCGGACAACATCAACGCGGGGAAATCGCGACACGGGCTCAACAACACGGGACTCTTCACGAGGTGAGCAGCTCTCTCCACCTTCTTCATGGCAGGTGGAGAAAGGAAATATATTTCATGACTTCTCCTTTTGTTCTTGGAGACTAATATCCTTCATATAAACAAGTCAAGCATGTGGATTGGCCTTGTATGTCGATCTGTGGTTTCTACGTGTAGAAATGTATGTTTTCTTTAGGTCCAACTGTGACTGTGACGACAAGTTTTACGACTGCCTAAAGGAAGCCAACACACTGATCTCCAAGAAGATCGGTGTAACATACTTCAATATCCTGAGGCCGAAATGTTTCAGGAAGGATTATCCTGTGTTAGGATGCGAAAAACACGAAGGGTGAGTTGACCAGAACTGTCTAAAGCAAAGATTTCCAACCTTTTCTATTAAGCATGTTAGTAAAAGTAGTAACGTTCTTGGCTTATATTCTGGGGTTTCCGGTTCGAATCTCCGTCCTGGGTGAACTTTTTCGTTATTCTCCTCAGTATCTCCATTTAAATACTGGGATAATATATTAAATTGAAGCCATGATCACTTTCTTCCACATATCTGCCATTTCATTCTTCAAAGTCATCCAGTCACTTGATAATATAATGTCTGAGTTGCTGACAGCGTAAATACATAGGCACGAAGTACAAATTGTAAATTACTCAACGTTTCACGATTCGCCGATTGATAAAAGGTAAAAATGAACTATCCCTGTAAGAAGCTGTGGAGGCCCATAGGGTTGTGAGACGTCGAGGCACCCATATTTTCTAGACAAATGGATCACAGATGGCGGTGATATTGTCAGCCTTAGGCACCGACCACCTTTTACCCCCAGAAAGATCCCTGGTATTCATTTCTGTTAGAGGTTAAGTCGACCCCAGAGCCATAGTGCGGCTGGAAGAATTAGGTAAATTAAAAACAAATCCAACTCAATTCAATGACCTCATTGGGAATCGAACCCGCGACTTTATGGATTGTAGTATAGTGCCTCGTTTCCCCGATCTATATGACAGTAATATTTTTCTTCTGACTCCCGATAACCACTGCACAATTCAATCGATGGTATACTAACGTAATTATTATTAGAATATCTGAACACGATAAATTTCTATACAGAAATTGAAGCTTCAATATGTTTTAGAATGGATGTTAAAGAAATGAGTTATAAAGGTGTGGAATAGATTGGTGTGGCTCTGGATAGGAACAAATGATTGACTGTTGTGAATGTGGAAATCAAATTTTGGATTACACAGATGGTCGAGAGTTTCTTTAGCCATCTAATGTCAGAATTTCAGGAAGAGCTCAGCTCCATGATATTAAAATCGAAGACATTTCATACTTACTTCCATTAAAAGTTTTGGCCTTCAAAATACATTAATGACAACATATGACATGTAAGATGGGAAATGATATATGTGTTTAAAGATACGGACTTTGTAATAAGCAGGGCCCGGATTTTGATGACCTGAAAATATTTAAAAAATGACCTATAAAATGACCGAAAAAATCCAGAAAAATGAACTGAAGGAGAAAGGGAAAGAACACTTCGCTTCCATCTTATTCACATTTCAGAAAACATATGAAGAAAAATTCCCTAAAATAGCCAAAAATAACAAGAAATACCCTTAAAAGTCCAAAAATTTACCAAAAAATTACAAAAAAAAATACCTATAAAATTTACATTTCTGTAACCAGCAGCTCATATCCGAGATTTATATATTTAAGAGCATCGCATAGGATACAAGGAAAAAAGATGACATGTCATCAAAATCCGGGCCCTGGTAATAAGGCTCCGCCTTCCCATTTCTCTGTGGTCAAGGGACCGACCACAGAACCACGTGTCATCTTCACAACTCGAATGCAAACGGCAGAGAAGGGAACATGAGCCGGGATAGCTCAGTCGGTATAGCGACAAGCTACATACTGGACGACCGAGGGGCCAGTGTGCAATTCCCGGCAGTAGGAGGTTTTCCTCTTCTCCATAACGTCAATACCGACTCTGGGGCCCAGCCAGCCTCCAATGCAATGAGTACCGGAAAAGATATCAGGGGGTTAGGCGGCAGGGGCGTAAAGCTGATCATTAACATCCAACTAGTGCCAAGATTAAGAATGGTGGATTTATACCTCGACTACCCCATATGCTTTCATGGCACACTGCTTAATTAATTAAGTCCAGGGATAATATTACCTTTACAAACTATGTATGAAAAAAACGTTACTTTCAGAATAAGCAACATATTTCTGCTGATTAATTGTGGCGAATTATATGAAAGTTACTGCCGAGTAGAATTTTCGGATTGAGGCAGGATTCGAACCATGTATCTCACGAATAAAATTCTATATCCCTACAGCTAGATGAACCTGTTCAATCTGCAACTTAAGAAATAGTGTCATTAGTGTGTAAAACAACAGGTTAATCATGAACACTCTGAAAGCTCGTGGATAAAATCAAGCAAATATATCATAATATCATATAACATTTTAAATTAATATCTTTTTTAATGTTTATATTTCTCTTCCTCTTTCAGGATAATTCTTAAGAGATGTGCAAAGTACGACATGGATTATTCACTGCCGCAGATCTGGCAGTGGTTCGATCCGAAGGAATTCTGATCAGCAGACAACGAATGTCTGGGATATAGACAGGAAATATGAGTCAAAAGCAGGGTGGCCCAAACTTAAGAGCTATAGACCAAATCTTGGCATTTACATATTTAATCTTCACTTTCCCAATTATTAATAACTCCCTAATCAGGGTTCAAAATATCCTCAATCCTTCGCTAATTCCGTACTAACCCGCGCGTTGGCAATGGCGTTTTCCTTAGAGACGTGGTTGGTCTATAATAATATGGGCTGTAAAAATCTACCAAACTACACGGCATCACATCCCTGAAGACAGTAATCTTCGTAGTCACAGCCACAAGAACCTCAAATCTCAAGGAACAGATACATTTCGAAGTGACCGCCGGTAGAAGAGCATCATGGGAAGAATTCTGCAGTTGAATTATCTCAAAATCATTATTAGTTATTCGCACCAATGGATTCGACTTTGTAAACGAAAATTCGTGAAAATAAGAAGAGTAGACTATGTTGAACATCCACAAAATGATAACGGGGAGGGGAAACCGAGTACTCAGATGATTTGTGCCAATGGACGAATATTCGTTGCGTACATGTAAGAGACTTTATTTTTCTCTTTTCTATACACTAGAAGCCGGCTCTGGGGCCCAACAAGCCTCCTATCCATTGGGTTCCGGAGGCTCTCTCCCTGGAGTAAATTGGTGGGACCGTGAAGATGACTACTCACTTTCTTCTATTTCCGAGTTCAAGAACTGTGGAGTTTTACCTCCACTCTCCCATATGTCTTATTGGCATACAACAAAAAACAAAATAAACTCCGTGGTTTTAGTCCTCAAGCGAACTATACCGACAGAGCGACCGCCGCTTGTCAGCGAAGTTAGTACTCGTACCAATTTTAGCGGATAGAGGTGTCACGTGGTCAGCGCAACTGATTCCCACGGCCGTTAATCTCGGTTTTCTAGACCGGAGCCGCTATTTCCTTGAAATAGCTCCTCAATTATCCTCACGAGGCCGAGTGGACCCCGTTCCAGAGCCACTACTTCTAGGAATAAATCTTGCAGAGCAGGGAACCGAACCAGGATCTCTGGATCTGTAGCCAGAAACTCTAACCACTAGACCACAGAGGCGGGCCTTATTGACATTGTGCTTAATTAATTAATCAACCACAGAGGCAAATTTACTTTAACTTCACATCTTCGATTTACATACATTTGTTAGAGAGGAAGTATTGACATGTGATGTTTTTATGCCTTCTTCTTGTGAAGTTTAAGTATAAACGGCACCAAAACATTGCCTCACATCTTTTTATCTGTTGTGTCAATGCAGGGAACATTTTTAAAACACCATTCGCTCTATTAGTTTTCTCGTATTCATTTTATCACATTCGTGGACCGTTTGTTGCATCAGAGAAACTTCACACCACGCAAATATTTGTGTTACTAATGTTTCATACATTTGTACATACGAACGAAATATACGCGGGCAGGCAGAGCTCACTTTACGTTATTTGCGAACATAACTAACTGCTAAGTGAAGCACTAAATTCTGCCGATGTGTTAAGGAAGTCAACAAGCTTTTTTAATGCTAGTGGGGTGGGACTAAGCCCCTTGTACTGAGGCCACTTCTGGTCTATTATTATACCAGCCCCAGATGTCAGGTGAGGGTGATTGTGGAGCAATTGGTGGAATGAAGATTGGCATGGGAGACCGAAGTACTCGGAGAAAACCTGTCCCAGCGCCACTTTATCCACCACAAACCCCACTTGACCAGACACTGGATCGAACCCGGGCCGCCGCGGTGGGAAGCCAGCGGCTAACCGCTTGAGCTATGGCGCTTCTACTAAGTCAACAAGTTAACGTGAAACTAATTTCAGATTTCTGTAAGTGCATGTTCACTTATTAATGGCTCTATAGCCCCTTGTTCGGTCCTGGCCTCTTTTCAGCCAGTAGCAACGCCGCTACCTACACAGAACAAATGCACACAGCCATCCATGCCTCGATTGGGATTCGAGCCCACGATCCCAGCGGTTGAGCGGATGAAGACACTTCATGCCTTAGGCCGGCCCCCAACATGTTTCGTTTAGAGTATGTAGCCTTCCAATTATAGCGACAGCAACAACAGTTTTTGGCATTCATGTATTTTTAAATATTTGAGTATGACTGGGGCAGAACATTCCACCAACTGCTCTATATTCATGAATCATCCTATAATCGTCGCTACATGGTCTCAATACTGACTGACATTGTCGTCACATAAAAACTTAAAAAAATAAAATAAAAACAAATATTTAGAGTTCGTGAATAGGTCGAACGCTTTATTTCCACGTTTTGGCATTTCGAAATTCAGTTGACTTCTAACACTTCTGAAACGATGAATACCATCGGTTGGTCTTACTTAGTTGATTAGAATCATCGCCATGTCAACATGAATCTCAAGGATTAGGTCCATTAGTCTATACCGTAGCCTACTTGAAAACCCTTACGTATATGGTTAATTAACATTTCATGAAGAGTTCTGTCTCTTGGGGTAGAGAAAGGGTAGGTTAATGAGAGTCCGCTGGAATTACCCCCAGAAGGGGCGTGACCAGTAATAGATCTCCTCGCCTCAACAAACAACCATCATTTCAAAACATGTAAAAGGCTTGGAAAGAATAAAAATATGGTTATGGGTCTCGATGGGACCCGAAAACAGGTCTGACTGTGCTGGCGAGGACCAGCAGCAATTTACGAGACCGACGGGGTTATGACAACGTTTAGTCCAGTGAAAGTCAATCTACGATCAGAAGGAGCATATCACGCTGCTATCTGACTGTTTTATACTGGTTTCTTGATTAGATTAGCTTTTGTCCTGAAGATAGAGGCAATATGTCCATCCGAAACTTCGGTTGACTTTCACCGGACTTCAAGCCGTTATAGTACCTCAGACAATGGTACTTTTCATAGCCACCGCTACAAGGACCTCATATTTTGTTATTCTCATTTATTCGTAGCGTAATTAAGACGCTGTCAATAGGTAAGATTGTGTAATGTAAAATTATCGGGGTTTCTACTGAATAATGAATTGTGAACGACGTGGAAGAAAACTGGCATGGCCAAATTACATGTCTTATCCCGTAATTTGCTTAGAGGGGATGAGGAAAACCCGGAGAACCTCAGAAAGGATAGCTGTACCCCGGGACAGAATTTGAATCCGCGTGTTCACTGGTCACGAAAGAGACCACAATTTAATGCACATGATATCGCTCAAGGAAACTCGAAACAAAACTCACGCTAGAAGAGATTTTCATAGAGTCTTGGAACTTCAAATATTTTTAGTTTCAAGATGTAATATTTAAGGAATACAGTTAGCTTTGGTGATTAATTTGCTTTGTAAGGAACTTAATTTCATTCTCAGAAGTTCTAAAAGAAAAACGGTAACTTGGCCTCCCTAGTAAGAAGTGGGAATGGTTACCACTTCACGGCAACGTCCGGGTCTACTGTTCTTCCAAATACAATTACAATATGTTTTAAAATTTAAAATTATTTTCGGGATAATTTTTTCTTCCATTCTTTCACAAATTTACCACCGTTTATTCTCCCATTCTGACATTCTGTCTGCACTGATAATTTGCTAGGAAGACTTTGAGTTAAGCTGCTTTTGATCTGGGGCGTGACGTCTGCTACAGGTCTGAAGACAGCGTGACTGCTGCTACAGGTCTGAAGACAGCGTGACTTCTGCTACAGGTCTGATGACAGCGTGACTTCTGCTACAGGTCTGAAGACAGCGTGACTGCTGCTGACGATCTTTACGGCTTCAGTCCTTCTTGTACAGCTTCCTGATACCGCCTAAATTTATGATTTGTATTAAAGAACAGTTGGGCCACTAGAATTGTATTTAATTATCCTTTTATTAATAAATATCTCCCCAACAGTAAGCATGAGTTAATAGATATCTTCCTCCATTCTTAAAAAATCAAATAAAATTATTAAATGTGTTACATTCGCTTAGAGTTAAGTGTGTTGTAGATGCATATAAAGATTATAATGTATCATACGGAAATGTAATTCTGTTAATGGCTGTGAATACAAGTATTTTGTCAATGCTAATTAGATTGTTTCTCTATTTATAACCGAGAGATTAGTTCAACAGAACTGAGTAGTAGTCCAAATGATAATAAATCGGACCCAAATTACGATTAATATAAGAAGCTCTTGCTGTGTTTTTCTTCATTCCAATAGCTGGCTGCCATCCTTATGCTCGCGGTATCTCGGTATCCTAGGTAAGGTAAAGGTAAAGCTATCCCTGTAACAGGCCGTGATGGCCCGTAGGGTTGTGAGACGTTGAGACTCCCACATTATCTAGACAATCGGCTCATTGATGGCGGTGAGGTTGTCAGCCTTACGCACCGGCCGCCCTTTACGTCCAAGAAGATTCCTGGTACTCATTTCTGTTAGAGGCTGAGTCGACCCCAGGGCCATAATGCGCCTGGAAGGATTAGATAATTTGAAAAATCCACATCATCTGGACTCGAGCCTGTGACCTTCCGGCTTGTCTGCTCGCTACTGATACCGGCCAAAGTGAACTGTGCTTCGGCTTGAGCGAACCAAACTGCTGGTCTGTCGGCCCAGAACGGCGGAAGCCGCACGGTCATTCTGGGCACTTCTGCCGATGAACTGTCTGCGGTTTCCATCATCACGTCGGGGTCACCAATGTGGGATGTCGTATGAATGATGAGGCGGTAGCTACGCCAGACGCCCAGTGAGTCGGACATGACCGCCTACTAGCTGAGGCAGCCCAGCGAGTCGGGCATGCCAGCGGAGTGGCGAGGCGGTCATTCCTGGCGCAGCGCAGAGCAGCGTAGTGCCTCAACCAACTATGCTACCGATGATTCCCTTGGTATCCTAGAAAGAATTTAAAATGTTCATAACAATACCTTAACCTTCGCTACCTTTCCAAACAAAACACCTTTCCTCTATTAATGCGGGTTGCGTTGTATTTTTTTATATAACGTGTTCCATTGCAACGACACTGCCCGCCTTGTGCGGGCCGCTTGGCAACACCGCTTCCCGCAGCTCTCCTATTGTTGCGTGACGTGTTCTTCTGTTGTATGTGCAATCAATGTTACGCTTATAAGTTGTTTTCTGTACCGTAACCTAGTAACGACTCACTACATGCTGCGACATGTACATAGCAAAGACACACTACATCCTCCACAAATGGTCTATTTCCTAAGATATCAGTGTGGCTTTGAATCCCTATCTATATTAATTCTGTGGAAGCATTAATTTGTCTGCTACCAAAAGTGAACCTGTTCGATTGTATGCACATGCTGTATTAAAAGAGACGATTATACATTGTGTGACTAAAGACGGAGTATGGATTGGATATTGGGTTTACTGACCACTTAAACACACAACTGGTAACTACAATTAATTACAGCGGTATAGCTAATTTCCACACTTTACAAACCACTATCTATCTATCTATCTATCTATCTATCAATCTATCTATCTATCTTTTCACAATCCTTTTTGCTGGACCTTGGGCGCTTTTTCAGTTTCTTAATCCTATACACAGTCGGTAGGACTCCTTGGACGGAGGATCAGCCAATCGCAAGGCCGCTGCCTATAAAGAGAACAACACAAACACAGAATAAACCCACATAGACATCCATTCCTTGAGTGGGATTCGAACCCACGATCCCAGTGTTCAAGCCAGCGAAGAAGGTTCATGTCTTAGACCGCGCGGCCACTGTGATCGGCTTTATAAAATACAAATCACTATAACACGATAAGTTCTCTCAATCTTCAATAGTCGTATCCTGGCAACGGATTTATAAGTGTCTCACTGTAATTTCTACACACATAAAGTCTTCTTCTCACAGTCAGACTTAGAAGTCAACTTCTTTTAATGCCTCGATCTTCTCTGCCGTCGATTCCGGAACTCTCAATCCAACTTTCTGCTGCAACTTCCAACTCTCTTGTTGCCATAACTTCTCAATTATCTTCGACTGCCAAAGTCAAAGTCTAAGTCTAAGTTATGCAACGACCGACGGTCAGTCGGTCAGTTTTTCTTGGAACAAAGCACCCACCTGAGGCTTAAGGCCAGATATTTATTACTGTCAGACAGTTGCAGACTTATTTATGTGGGGCGCTCTCTCTGACGAGAGGACGGGTCTGTCATTTGCCAGAGTCACAGTCAGCGGTAATAAGTGTGTTGTCAGTATGTACACTTTACATTTTATTAAACGCATAACAATATATACAAGTCCTCTGTCAATCCAGGCTCAGTACAACAGATCATGCCCTATCCTTAACAGCTCTTGTTGCAACGGCAGTCTAGTCACTTAAACGGTCTTATGCCTGACCACGGCCAAGTTTAACCTTGCCAAAGACAAAGCCGATTCTCAACTCCTTTTATAACCACTTTGCATGGACCAAATAGAAAACATCGTTTCAAATAATACCTCTATTGCTGCTTACGTATTAATTGCTGAGGGAACTTGTTTAATGAACTGTTGCTTAGCAATGGACATGTGGGAACTGCCCACATTCAAGTAAGTGTGACAACGCAAGCTTCATTTCTTAGCAACGACGAGTAAACAGCGGTTGCTAGGCAAAGCCCACAACAATACGGACAGTGACTGGTTTTCTATATGTCCGACTCTAGGTTACATAAGAAATACATTGAGTGGAAGATACAGTTACAGTTAAAGTTCTAGATTCTACAGTTCTACAATTCTGGTTCAGTGTGTTCATTATTGTTATTATTATTCTTCAAACGCAAGTTCGTCTGTGTACACGGTGCAACTACAATAAATACTATAGGACCGTTAAACTAGTGGTTGTCTCTTCATATGACATCCCACAGACGTATCCTCTGGATCCACTGTTCCGGCATGCAGGCGTCAAGCTTGCATATAAAATTATGGACTTCAGTCATTGTGAGTGGCCAATAATCATATCATACCCAAACCCCGTATCTCATGTGAAAGTGGGAAACTAGTGATAACCACAGAAGTAGTTTCTAAAATCATCACACGTATTTTAATAACTGTACATTGTTCATGTAACTTGCCACCTACATACAAGTCGCGAATTGTGTAAGTTATTCTGTGGACGTATTGCACAACATTCCAAACGGTATTCGTTGCAGCTCACAAACCTTAACTACAGCCGGAATGTGAAGGCTTTTCATCAGAGCACAAAATGTGTTAGATAAAACAAGCATAATCCACGTTTCAGTGGCATAATCACTCACAATACCGAATTAAAAGAACATCTGCGAATGATTTACAAAATGTATACATGAAAGTTCCATTAATGGCATTTGACAAGTAGGTCTTGTGACACGCTGTAATAGCCAATATAGCCAAAATTTAATTAACAGTTCATGACATACAGAAAGAAAGTTCATTTTTTGCCTGATGTAATGTAGGTTTTGTTATGGATTGTTGAAAATAGAAATTGACAAACAATATTTAGTCAAAGTCTCCAATGTCAAATTTAAAAGATAATCATCACAAATACTTAGGCACTGATTCTAAGACAGGGACAGACTTATGGACGGACTCACAGACAAATGTGAACTCCACATACGTTGTTCTTTCATATAAATAACACCTAATAATTGAAATAGGGTAAGGCGGTGTAGTACCTGTGTTCAATTAGACACCACGAAATGAGCCGTAGGGGACAGTGGAGGTACAGATCCACGCATTATTAACCCCAGGACTACATGCAGGTCGGCGTTCAGGGTGCGTTCAGGTTCCTCGACGGTTAGAGGCGGACATTACACAGCACAGCAACTAACTCCATGGAGCTGAGTTCGTCTTGAGAAGCAGCCAGTCCATTTTATGGAGATCGCAGTTTCATTAATACGTTCACAAGAGCCTTCAATTGGTCTCCATCCTGAGCCAGATAAATTCAGTCCAATAGTTGGTTTATTTAACTACGCTGTCAGTAGCTCGGACTATACGGCGTTAAATGGTAAGTATAATACCGAAAAAGACTAACTGGAAAGAATGCACAAAAAGCGGTCGTGGCCTAATTTGATTTACTATCCTAGCATTTGTCAGTATGGACTAAAGATAACCATTAATAAATTCAGGACGGCGGTGTCCGGGCTCAGAATTGAACGGGTCACCTTCTGAATACAAGTCAGAAGCTTTACCCTTGCTTAGTGAGGCACTATGTTACAAGCCGAGAGGTCGCGGGTTCGAGTCCCAAGGAGGTGGATTTTTTTAATTTACCTATTCCTTCCAGCCGCACTGTGGCCCTGGGGTCGACTCAATCTCTAACAGAAATGAGTACTAGGAATATTTCTGGGGGTAAAGGGCGGCCGGCGCTTTTGACTGACAACTTTACCGCCGTCTGTGAGCCGATTGTGTAGACAATGTGGGAGCCTCGACATCTCACATCCATATGTGCCTCCACGGCCTGTTACAGGGATGGCTTACCTTTTCCACCTTTTCTAGTGCACGAGAGTTGAGTTTCGGGAAAACGACGAGGTGTACATCTGCATAAGGTCAGATTATATCTGTGTTAGCATCGTGCAATTGACCAAATGGAGCCAAGGTAAAATCTCAAAGGATATTTGAGGAGATGAGCGATCAATTAGAAGATCTGGTTGTCTGTTTTTCACGGGGAACATCCAACGTTAACTACTGCATAAGTGGCTCGGATGGCCCACTGCAGTAAAACTGTTGGAGCAGAAATGGACAATGATTTCAAAAGCTGCAGCTGTGGGGCTAGCACTCCCGTTCCGCTATTCGGGAGATGTGCAATGCATCCAACATTGTAACTGGAAAACCTGAAAAAGGGGCCACCGGCGAGTAAAGATGTCAGTGGTTAGATAATATTAAAATAAATATTTGAGTTAATTTCACTTATGACAGATTCCAATGGCAGGCTGTTGTGGACACTGTAATGAGTCTTTGGATGCCATAAGAGCCGTGTAATTTCTTGATTAGTTTGGCGACTATTAGTTTCTCTAGAAGGACTCTACTCCATGCACTTCGTTAGGTATTCAGAAATCGCCACACCATTCACTTTGTATACAAGTCACACAATTTTCAATACAACGTGGAGTTTGGTGCGTTTGAAACAGCAGGGTTCTTGATAAAATTGTCTTTTCCTCTAGATCCATATTTGACGTCATAATGTTGATTATATAATCTCTCTCTCTCGCTATATATATATATAAGTGAATTGCCACTATCTTGACACAGTATTTGTTAAATTCTCTGTTATGTGTTCGGTTCAACAGCCCTCAAAACTATTGTATTTATCGTCGCAAGAATATTTTAATTTCATAGAAAAAGCTAAACGGTAGGCCCATAACCGGAAAAGGATTACGAATTTGTTGAAGACGGCCGTGGAATTTATATAACTCCACTATCTTCGTTGAAACAGGCCAGACAAAAGCGAAAGGTAAAGTAGCTCATGTACCTTATTACCACACCCCGGTGTCTTGTAAATGGAAGGCAAGGTGTAAGTATTTTTACCCCCGGTACCAGATAGAAAAGAATGGCAAACTTGTTCTTTATCATCTGGGAAAATCGTGCAGGTACACATTGCATATGAAATTGGGTTGACAACAGAGTCTATCTGAAGTTAATGATAATTAAGAAACACTATCCTTGAAGGGAATCGAACCTTGACGATCCATCACGTAGTTAGCTACTTCAATTGCTGACTGTCATTGTTTTAATCTTGTTTCAAAAAGAAATAACTTGTATAGTTCAAAGGATTCTGGCAACCATTCATAATACTAAGGATTAGTGGGTTTCTACTGTTTTCTAAACACCGGACGATGGACAAAGTCCAAAACACCCAGTAATCCCAAGGAAGAAGGCGGTCGGAACATGTCACATAAGGTCACAAATAAGGGCATTTCGATTCTATGTATTCCTGGTCTCACTGAGTAGATAAAGTTAAATATTTACGTGTTCTTATTTACGCCATGTAGACCTAAAAGAGGAATGGAAGTATAGTTCGACGTATTTTTAACCTTGGCGCCAGATGTAGCCTTCACTTTTCGGTCGCCTTGTCCCATGGGAAATATCCCCAAAAGCCAGCCTGTAGGCAGAAGGCTGAAGGGATGCCGGAGCTGGTCTGGACGTTGTTGAGAAGAAAACAATCTTGGCATAAATCAAACTTAACTTCCTCGGTCGCCCTGCCTGCAGCCTAGTGCCTATAAAGGTTGAGTTATCATACCTCTGTATTTCAGCATCCTGTTGCAATTGTCTAACTCAACATCCATGTATCTATCGTCCGTCAATATTTTAACATAATTTAATGAAATATTTGTAACATATCAAGACACCTGAAGATGGCCGTTTGGGGCCGAAATATGTAGTGTCGAAGTGTATAATATTAAACTAAAATTAAAATTAAGTAGTGAATAAACAAGTGTTGCAATATTGACGGACGAGAAATACACGGACGTTGAGTTAGCATACCGCCTCTCACTAAACAGGCGCCATTCTTTGTAATCACAGAAAAATATGCAGAATGAAGGAAATGAAATGAAATAATTACGTTATTGGTGATTATAATTTAAGTTTCAAAAGAAGAGCACTCTGACTGTCACATTTTTCACGCTCGTTTCTTGGTCGGATTATTCTTCGATAATAAGGAGGCGACATGTTCCTCCGAAACGTCGGTTGACTTTCAACATACTATATGGCTTTATATCCCAGAAGATAATATTCTTCATAACCAAAGTTGTGAGAACATTAAATCCTACATAATCCAGAAAATAATTTCTGAAAATTGTCTTGAAATATTTTAATGTTTTGCCGACGACGACGACGATGATGATGATGATGATGATGATGATGATGATTGTATAAAGTTCAATAAGAAGCAAGTACCATTCAGCAAGCACAGTCCGCTGCTTTCTTCTTGCTGACTGACTGGTTTACTCTTCGACTCTGAAGATGGAGGCAGTACAGTCCCCCGAAATGACGGTAAGCGTCTATCACACTACATATCGCCAAATCCTAGAAAACGGTGCTCTCCATAATCACCACCGTGAGGACCTCAACTCTCCAATCTGCTTTCTCATTCGAATTTAACTCCAGACGTTCACTTATATCGCCCGTACAGAGTGGTATAAAACAAGAAGATGAAGAATATCGTCTTCTGGGATGCGGCTGCAGCCACCTGCTTACGCTGGTTCCTCGCTCACAAATTTTCTACCCTGAAGATAGAGGAGATACGTTCCTCCGAAATTACTGGTACTCATTACTGTTAGAGGCTGCGTCAGGAATTAGTTAAATAATTTTCCTGGGGAGTAAAGCGCTGCCGGCGTGTAAGTCTGACAACCTTACCGCCATCTTTGAGCCGATTGTCTAGATAATGTGGGACCCTCAACGTCTCACAACCTTATGGGCCATCATGGCCTGGTACAGGGATAGCTTTTTTACTTTTCTTTCCTCCAAAACATCGGTTTACACAATAACTACAAGTCGCCACAATCCAGAAGACGGTATTCTTCATAGTCACCGTAGTGAAAACCTCAGATCATAAATAAAAAAATAATGTGACATGTTGAGCTATGGATGACGCCCCTCTCTCCCCGCTAGCCGTGACGTGCCAAGCGGAGCCGAAGTGAACCGAGTCCCAGCACGCTGGTTGCTAAGCAAAGCGAGTAAACAGCGGTTGCTAGGCAAAGCGAGTAAACAGCGGTGACGTAACACGGGATGCCGCAGTCACTACGTAGCGGTAAACAACTCCCAACAGCGTTGCTAGGCTATCGGCTACCACGGCGGCAGACAACAGTGGTGCCTATTACGTGGCTGTTTTCTGTGTTGTCCGGAACGAGGCTAAATAAGGAGCAGCGAAGACTATTCACAGGCAGTTCTTAAGTCAGCACTGAACGAGTTCTCAAGTTATGAGTTAGTTCTCGAGCTACGATTTACGAGTAAGCCAGGCAGTCAACCAGCATTTGCAGTGTAGTATTTGTGATACTGCCGATGGCAGTAATTGTCAGATTGTAATTTGTGTGATTGTAAGAGCGAATGTGAAATAAAATTCGCTATATCCAATACAGCGTTATACACCCAACATGTGACAATAATTATAATTTAAGGTGCTTCGGATTCCCCTGAATATTCATTTGAAGTTAGGTTCACGTACTCTTCTTGTATGTCATGTTTCTAGTTGCCATGAAGCATCATAACCACTGGCATCAGCTGCTGATTTTTCTATTAATGACAACAGCCTGGCCACATAGAAGCGAAGGCTGGTCTATTGCCTGGAAAGGAGGATTAAAGAACGACCCAAGATTTAGTTTAATTTTTCCAGGTATGTATTTCTTGGTCTCTGGTATTAAGGGAGATACATAGACTGAGGGTGTTTGAGAACAGGGTGTTGAGGAAAATATTTGGACCCAAGAGAGATGAAGTGACAGGAGGTTGGAGAAAACTGCATAATGAGGAAGTTCATAACTTGTACTCTTCTCCAAGTATAATTAGAATGATCAAGTGAAGGAGGATGACGTGGGCAGGGCATGTAGCACGAATGGGGAGACGAGAAATGCGTATAGGATATTGGTCGGAAAGCCAGAAGGAAGGAGACCACTGGGAAGACCAAGGCGTAGGTGAGTGGACAATATTAAAATGGATCTTAGAGAGATAGGATGGGATGGTATGGATTGGATTGATCTGGCTCAGGATAGAGACCAGCGGAGGGCTCTTGTGAACACGGTAATGAATCTTCGGGTTTCATAAAATGGTGGGAAATTCTTGAGTAGCTGCAGAATTGGGAAGACCATGGCGTAGGTGAGTGGACAATATTAAAATTGATCTTAGAGAGATAGGATTGGATGGTATTGATTGGATTGATCTGGCTCAGGATAGAGACCAGCGGAGGGCTCTTGTGAACACGGTAATGAATCTTCGGGTTTCATAAAATGGTGGGAAATTCTTGAGTAGCTGCAGAATTGGCGGCTCCTCCAGAAGGGCTCAGCTCCATGAGTATGAGTATGAGTATGTATTTGGTAATAGGCCTACGTCCATTTCATGTAGATTGCAGGCATCAGATTCCCAAGAAGTTCTCTGATCAGTGGAATTGGTTCGTCATTAATTTGTTTCCTGTTCGAGGGCTATTAGGAGAGTAATCTCCGTTTATTTAGGCAACTAATGTAGGAGCGGGGTAGAGCTCGCGCATGCGAGGTAGAGTCACATGACTCATTGGCTTGTAAACCATCACATGACTGGTTACCTAGTGTTTGTTCTTGTCTCTACATATGAGTTATGATATATCCTGCGTTTGATAATCTCACCAGCTGCGAAATTCGCGCTATTATCTGCTTTCTTCACGCAAAAAACACTTGTGCTACTGAAATCTATCGTGAATTATGCGCGGTTTACACCCAAAATATGATGAGTGAAGGAATTGTAGAATGTTAAAAAATGGGCGAATGTATATTCACCATGAAGAGCGAAGTGGTCAATCATTTATAGTGAGTGATGATCTAGTTTAAAGTGTTGACCAGAAAATCTGTGAAAGACGGCGCTTCGCAATGTCAGAATTTTCGTGTGAATTTCCACAAATTTCACGCAGCCTTCTGTGATAATGTCACAGGCTAGACTATCACAAGTTTTGCGCGAGGTGGGTTCCGAAAATTCTCACGGGTGCACACGAACACAGAGAATTGCTACGGCTTGGAATTTTTAGTTATACCATGAAGCTGGCGACGAATTTCTCAATCACTGTTTACGAGTAACAGATGATGAAACCTGGGTTTCATTTTTGAATGATGAAACCAAAAAGCAGTCAAAACAACGAATGCATATACATTCGCCAAACATTGTCTGCCAGGGGCCATAATAATTTCACATGTGTATTTTTCTCTAGTCGTATCCTGGCAACGGATTTCAACACAGTAGTTATACCAACTTCACAAAATGTCTTCTCTATACAATCTAATTCCTTTCTTACTATTTATTCTTAATCGCCTTCGACTGCCGACTGGATTCTATTCTCTGCTGCAACTACCAACTAAAGAACTCGACTCAATTCTAATTATAGCTGCGTGAGATCCTCGTTATATAGCCTGGGGACGGCTCCACAGAGAATACCGCTTCTTCTGTTGCTGCGTTTTGATTCACTGCTGCAGAGATGTGTTTAGCGTACAGTAGTTGCATAGTAGCGAAAGTGGCGCGTTCCCAGAGAGAATGTCGCTTGCAAAATGTTTCTATTGTTCGTGACGTCACAGCGTACGTGGCGCATACCTCTGTTGCGTATGTAGGGTCCATTACATAGCAACGGCTGCTTCTCTGCCTCCACAGTTCTTACGTTGAGCAAATATGCCGCAATACACGTACTTTAAATTTATTTTATGTGCTTTTTTCTAATCTTTGAATGGGGAATTCCCTCTGGGAGGATCGTTATGAAGCTTCTTCTTCGGCAAGTCTCGGGTTTTCAAGTTCCATTAATAATGAAGCCTATTCCTTTACTTACAGGGACGAAATGGTGTGGTTCGGGGAATATCGCTGCCAACTTTGCGGACCTAGGATCGTCTGAAGAAACGGACAAGTGTTGCAGAGAGCATGATAATTGTCCTGATAGCATAGAAGCCTGGAAATCGAAACACAATCTTACAAACAACTCTTTCTATACGAGGTAAGATTCTTCTGATCACCCAAGATATAATCTTGGCACCTTATATCTCCTCCATTCATTGAAACGATACTTTTTCGCCTGCATACGAGTATTCGGGATATTTCTCGAAACACCGAAAAACCTGTCCTCCTCACCGTTGTCCTGTTAGCCATCGCCTTCCGAGAAAACGGAGTCTAGACTCTCGGTTAATATGCCGTGCATACACAGAGGTGAATTTATTAAAATAAAGAAATCGTTTAGAATATCTTAACATCACACTAGGTATTCAAAATGTCCTCCATCGGCACTTAACCAAACTTCAAGTTACTCACAAAGACTGTTTAGCACTATGAAGAATGCAGTCTTCTGGGATTTGGCACCGTGTATATGTGGTGTTAACCGACGTTTCGGAGGAACGTATCGCCCCCATCTTCAGGGTTGAAGAAAAAGTATAAGTAAATCTGCAAGCGACAACACCGTGAGACACGATACTCAAATCTTACACACTGTTTAGCACTAGTTTGAATTATATGACCTCAACAGACCAACTGTCTCACAAAGGCTGTGCCTAAGTCTATCCAATGTTTGTGAGGATTATATGAATATACTTCGTTTCTTAGGTTTCCCCACAGAATAAAGTACAAGAATTTAAGCCTAGAGATCTTGCAGCCATAATCTGCAATGTATCATTTTTCTTATGATTCTACTTTTAAAACGTAAAAACATAAAAAGGTAAAACGATCCCTGTGGCAGGCCATGGAGGCCCATAGAGTTGTGAGACGTCGAGGTTCCCAAATTTTATCTAGATAATCGGCTCACAGATGGCTGTGAGGTTGTCATCCTTACGCCCCGACCGCCCTTTACCTCCAGGAAGATTCCTGGTATTCATTTCTGTTAGAAGCTGAGACGACACCAGGGCCATAGTGCTGCTGGCAGGATAAGGTAAATTGAAAATTTACACCTCATTGGGATTAGAACCCGAGACCTTCCGGCTTGTAGCATAGTGCCTCAACCAACTGTCAGAAAGTAACTAGCTACTGGTCGGACTATAGTGATTTGATTACCGAAACAGCCAGTGACTTATGTCTTTATTGCCACTTCAAGACCGGCTATCAATCCTCGTACCTAATTACTGTACCCGGGACTAAAAGGGCGGGAGAAAAACCTGACAGTTCACCTCCAGCTACTGTTGAGATTAAGAACGCTTGGAGATTTACTTTTGTCCTTTGTATACTTCATGTTATGGCACTTAGTCACAAGAATAACGTCGCTGCTACTACTGCAGTCAAAATATATCTCTTTTCAGACTGCACTGCAAGTGTGACGATGAGTTTTACTACTGTCTGAAGAAGAATAACGACTTCACATCTATGGAAGTTGGAATAACCTACTTCGACGTACTAGGTACACAGTGCTACAAGAAGGAATATCCCATCATAAGCTGTAAGAAATATAACCGGTGAGTCAGTCAACATGGCACATTTCAAGGATTTATGATGAAATACAAGGTGTGTCCCAAAATTCATGATATATATATATATATTTTAATTTATTGATGATATCAGTACAAAGTGTTAATATTCTTCAAAGTACTGTTCGTGAGCATCTACACATTTTTTCCACCGACTCTCCCATGCCCGGTACGTCCCCTCAAAGGCCTCGACGGGAACCTCATTTAAAGCTGTTGTCACGGCCGCTTGGATAGCCTGAATGCTTTCAAAACGGCGTCCTTTGAGTGCAGTCTTGATCCTCGGGAACAAAAAGAAGTCGGCCGGAGCTAGGTCGGGGCTGTAGGGTGGCTGCGGCAGCGTTGCCACGTGGTGCTTCACCAGGAACTCACGGACGAGCAGAGACGTGTGGCTGGAGCATTGTCATGATGCAGCCGCCAGTTAGCGGCGATGTCTTTTCGCACGCGGATGACCCTTTTCCTTAATCTTTCTAGATTAGTACGGAGCGTTGACGGTCTGTCCTTGGGGTAAAAACTCTTTGTGGACCACACCCTTGGCGTTGAAAAAGACGATGAGCATTGTTTTCACTTTGTATTTGTTCATCTTCGCCTTCTTCGGTTTCGGGGAAGCCGAGGTGTGCCATTCAGCACTCTGGCACTCCCCGTAGGCTTGCTTAAGCAGTTCGTGAGTTTCGGCAGCTTTTTTATTGAGCTTTGTGCAGAACTTGACCGCCCAACGTTGTTCGAAAGTATCCACCATCGCGCGCCGTGACGTGGTCACAGAACACAGGTGCACTAAATCAGCGATACTGAAGCCCCCGATGCTCGAGCAGACTGACCTTGGGCGCGCTGTGAAGCTAAAGGCCTCCCCCCCTAACCCAACCGGTTCCAGCGCCCTCCGACCAGTAGCAGCGCGGGAAAGAAATATATTTCATGACTTTTGGGACACACCTTGTATAAACAAAACAAAGTCTGTGGCTTTAGTTCGCAAGCGAATTATATTAACTGAGGCACCGCCGTTTGTCGGCGAAGTAAGTGCCAACTTTGGTGGATAGATGGTGTTGCGTGGTCAGCGCAACGAATCCCCACAGCCGTTAGTTTCGGTTTTCTAGACCGGAGCCGCATCTGTGATCTAGTGGTCAGAATTCCTGGCTACAGATCCAGAGATCCTGGGTTCGATTCACTGGCGCTGCCACATTTTCTGAGAAATATTAGGTCTAGAACGGGGTCCACTCAGCCTCGTAAGGATAATTGAGGAGCTACTTGAATAGAAATTTATGATCAAATGACAGTATAAAATCAAAATTATATTATTATGAAATTAAGATCGGACTAAATACGGGAAATGTTTACTATCATTCAGTTAAAACATGAAATTTCGTTTCTATCCCTAAACAGAGAGCAAGGGTTGAGAGTGGTTGAGAATAAATTGGTCAGGAGAATGTTTTGGTCTTAACACAGAAGTAACAGGGTAAAAGGTTGAGCTATCAATGTAAAAGGACGTGGAGGTCCATAGGGTTGTGAGACGTCGAGGCTCCCACATTTTCAAGACAAACGGCTCACAGATGGCGGTGAGGTAAAACTAACAGAGTAATGAATGATATTACGTATTGAAAATTTTACACTCCTCACTTTGTACTGCTATGGTGAATAACTCAGGGACAATAGTGTGATTGAATCATGTAGCACGCACAGGAAATGACTGCACACAACTATCACGAAACTCACCAATACATACATAACAACCAATAAAACCACTGAATTGCGCCTTAAAAACACAAAAAAGAAACTGTCGAAAATCCGAATGTGATCAATGGGTGTATTAGGAGGTAATATTACATCTAACTTAGACGTACAGGGGTATGAAAATATGGATTGCATTGCACTTGTGGACATAGTAAAGTAATTTCGGGTTCCATAAAAGGCGGGCCGAGTACTGACCAGTTCAGCAAGTAATATGCTTTCCTAGTAGGACTCTGCGGCGATCATAGTGGCATGAGCAGTCTTGGCTCGGTCCAAAGCTGTGATCATGAGTTAGAATCCCACTCAAGGCATTGATGTCTGTGTGCTTTTATTCTGTGTGTAGGCAGGGGCCTTCCGATGGGCTGTTCCCCCTTCCAAGGACTCGTACCGGCTGTGTATGTATTATCAAACCGAGAAAGCGGCCAAGGTCCATCAGAGCTGTGAAGCCATTGATAGAGAAATACGACGATTCTGAACAACACAGTTCATTAATTAGAGTATATCAGTTTTGCGAGGTTTGAGGTACTGAGGCCCAGGGCTATGAAGAGCACAGTGTCTTTTAGGATGTGACGCCGTGGCCTTCCTTCTTGTTTCCTTACACTTTCCTTCAACCCTGAAGATTAAGACGGCACGTTCCTCTTAAACCTTGATAAATTTCTACCAGATTATATGGCGTCAATCCATGGAGGTAATACTCTACATCAGATATACATTTCATATGGCACTAAAGCAGCATTTCTTCTCCTGAGCAATGTTTAATGCAAAGATTCATATACTTAGTAAGAACAAATACAAATATAAATCACTCCGTCCAATGTGACCTGTAAGTTTATTACTACATGAAAACTTAACACCTTACATGTTTCGGTCTCTGCGGACCATCTTCAGAGGGCAAACATCACTACAAATAGGAAACCACCATCACATAAGTTGTTTAGACGTAAAGTACGTACACTTATGTGCTACAATGCATAGTACACAAAATAGAACATTTCACAAACACAGCAGTTTCCTGGGAATGTGAAGTTTTTAAAAAATTATTTAAAATTTCTTGATGCTAATGAAATTTTTTTATCCTGGAAGATATAAAGAACCTCCACATCAAGATAGCCAGGTGGCAAAATATCTGCCCCATACAAGAGGGACGATGGGAGGACGAACACGAGCCTGCATGGTTTATGAATTTTAATTATTGACAATGCAAAAATTTTTAATTAGCATCAAGAAATTTTAAATAATTTTTTTAAAACTTTACATTCCCAGGAAACTGCTGTGTTTGTGAAATGTTCTATTTTATGTACAATGCATTGTAGCATATAAGTGTACGTACTTTACGCGTAAACAACTTATGTGATGGTGGTTTCCAATTTGTAGTGATGTTTGCCCTCTGAAGATGGTCCGCAGAGACCGAAACATGTAAGGGTGTTAAGTTTTCATGTAGTAATAAACTTACAGGTCACATTGGACGGAGTGATTTATATTTGTAATTGTTAGTGTGATGGACCAGAATGAAACAAATCAAACGTAGTAAGAAGATTACAATTTTATTGATATTAAGAAAAAGAGACAGACACTGCATTCCTTCTAATATATGCATTAACAGTAAATACACATCAGGGTAGAATCTAATGAGTGTTCGGCAAACACGTGTCCTTCAGTTTGGAGTATGCCTCTCTAGTCATGTTTATTTAGACAGTGGGAAATGTCTAGATAAGGTTGCTCTCTTCAGGACTAAGATAGCCTGTATATTAACCGATGTTTCAGGCCTCCACATTTAAGATTTATATTCTATTTTGAAGCTGGAGAGAGTTGCTTTCCTCAGAAACGTCTGTAACAATGTACCATACTACACAGCGTCACACATCGATAAGACAATAATCTTCACAGTCACCACCTCGAAAACTTCAAACCTCAAATATTCAAAGTAATTTTGTGTTCTCATTTAAATTATATATCACTATCTATCTGTCTATACTGTACAGTCCTTTTGTTGAGTCTTGGCCGCTTTCACTGTTTTTTAATCCTATAAACAGTCAGAAGGATCCTTGGACGGGAGATCAGTCAGTCGCAAGGCCACTGCCTATACTCCGTGATTTTAGTCTGCAAGCGAACTATGCCGACCGAGAAACCGCCGCTTGTCGGCGAAATTTAATGCCGAATTTTGCGAGTAGAGGGTATAGCGTGGTCAGCGCAAGGAATCCCCACGACCGTTAATTTCGGTTTTCTAGACCGGAGCCGCTATTCCTTGAAATAGCTCCTCAGTTATTCTCACGAGGCTGAGTGGACACCGTTCCAGACACACTATTTCTCAGAAACAAAAATCTGGTAGCGCCGGGAATTGAACCCGGACCCTGGGATCTGTAGCCGGGAACGCTGATCACTAGACCACAGAGGCGGTCTAGCCAGTACCTACACACAGATCAAATCAAACACAGAATGAACATACAAACACACAGACATCCATGCCATGAACGGGATTCGATCCCACGATCCCAGCGTTCAAGCGGGCGAAGACAATTCCTGCCTTAGACCTCGCGGCCACTGTGATCTTCATATCATGTACTATGAAACGTGTTTTAAAAATGGGAAAAATGTTTATACCGAATTTCAAATTAATAATCATGCCGTAGTTGAGGCGGTTAGTAGCAGAGGAAGGGAATGCTTTTCCTCAGAATGCTTCAGAATTCTCCTTCCACCAGCTGCTCCACTTTCATCAATCATCCTTCCTCTCGATGCTAAATAACCTCGATACTGACAGCGTCCTTAAATAATGGAGTTAAGAAGAAAATCTAGAAGTGGCTGCACGGATTGTTGCTATGCGGATACCAAGACGTAATGGCACGTGTGTTTCTTTACAGAATACTGATGTCAAGGTGTGAGCTGTATGAATTGAACGAGACACTGGAGAAACAATGGCAGTGGTTCGATGTTCCAGTGTACTGATATCACTACAGTCCGAAGCTAAAGCGTTCTTAACTAGATCTGTAGGAGCCATTTTCTTGCAATAAATACCTACCCATCCCAGACATTGATTTCAATACTTCTTGAGACTTACTAAAGTGTTGTGTTAACGTTACACAGTTACATGTACGTCAATTCTGAAATAAATTTCTTCATAATTTATTCTGAATCCGAGATATATCTATTAGAGATTCACTACATCTGTCCTTCTAGCGTAACTTCGGAGCTGTCACAAAAAGGTAAGTCAGATTCTGCTGAGAGGCTTGTATGGGTGTGAAACTTGGTCTCTGATATTACTCGTAAATCAGGAACACAGACTGAGGGTGTTTGAGAACAGGGTACTGAGGAATACCTTTCGACCGAAGAGGGATGAAGTGACAGGAGGTTGGAGAAAACTGCATAAGGAGGAGCTTCATAACCTGACTCTTCTCCAAATATAATTAGAATGATCAAGTGAAGGAGGATGAGGTGGGCAGGGCATGTAGCACGAATGGGGGAGACGAGAAATGCGTATAGGATATTAGTGGGAAAGCCAGAAGGAAGGAGACCACTGGGAAGACCAAGGCGTAGGTGAGTGGACAATATTAAAATGGATCTTAGAGAGATAGGATGGGATGGTATTGATTGGATTGATCTGGCTCAGGATAGAAACCAGTGGAGGGTTCTTGTAAGAACGACAGTGAACCTTCGGGTTGTATGAAATGCTGGAAAGTTCTCGAGAAAGTGCACAACTGACAGCTTCTCGAGAACTCAGCTCCAAGGAGTCAGTCAGTTTCGCTAAGTGGGGGGTGGAGCCCAACTGGGTCCATTCGGCACGACGGCCACTGATTGGCCTATTCTACCTGTCTCGGGTGAGAATGATGATGGAGAATTTGGCGGAATGAAGGCTGGCAGGGGAAACCGAAGTACTTGGAGAAAACCCGCCCCAGGGCCACTTTGTCCACCACAAATCCCACTTGACCAGACCCGGGATCGAACCCGGGCCGTAGCGGTGGGAAGCCAGCAACTAACCGCTTGAGCTATGGCGCGGCATCGAGTCAGTTAGTGCCAAGATGGTTGTCTAGCCCCAGCTACGTCATCTACAAAGACTGAACACAAGCCTGAAATTCATTCTGATTCCTCCATTACTTTCTTCAGCCTTTTGTACAGTTATTTCCTGGAGAATTGATTTCCTTTATTTGTCTTCATTTTGTCCTTTCTTTGTGTCTTTCAGTTAAGGACAGGAACCATTCACTTTTGCAGAACTCTCTTCCCCCCCCCCTTTGGCACTACAGTCCCAGTGGGTCTAGGCCTACCTCAATGAACTTCTCCGTTCACTTCGGTTTTTCTAGATCTTACACATTCGGTAGGACTCCTTGGGCGGGTGATCAGCACGTCGCAAGGCCTCTACCTGTATACAAACACAGAAAAACGCACACACACAAACTAAACATCCATGCCCTGAGTGGGATTCGAACCCACGATCTCGGTTTCCAAGCGAGCGAAGACAGTACATGCCTTAGACCGCTCGGCTACCGTGACCGGCGCAGAACTCTCTTGGATGGTAATAATTTTCCTTCAGCTTAATTAAGGGAGAACAGGGATTGTTCATCTGTGCCTTTCCCATGACTTGTGACTAAATAATGTTTCTAACTCCTTCAAGCAACTTAACGTTCATTAACGACGTGTTATGAGTAACGTCTCAGATATTCAAATACTACGACCGCATGTACTTTCTGATGACAGTGCTTAGGTTTCGTATTTCTCTGCATTTTGATGTCAGTAAGAGTAATCCAGAGTTATAAAAAAAACTAATATATAAGGGGGCACGCGGTAGCGTAGTTGGTCGAGACACTATGCTACAAACCGGAAGGTAGCAGGTTCGAGGGTCGATGAGGTAGATATTTTCAATTGATCTAATTCTTCCAGCCGCGCTATGGCTCTGGGGTCAACTCAGCCTCTAACAGAAATGAGTACCAGGAATCTTCCTGGGGCGTAAAGCGCGGCCGGAGCGTAAGGCTGACCTCACCGCAATCTGTGAGCAGATTGTCTAGATAGTGTGAGACCCTCAGCATCTCACACCCCTATGGGTCTCAATGGTCTGTTACAGGGATAGCTTTACTTAATATATAAACTTATATTTTATTACTTGTTCTAATAATTCAATTTGCCGGCCTCGGTAGCCGCGAAGTCTAAGGCATGAACTGTCTTCGCTCGCTCAGATGCTGGGATCGTGGGTTCGAATTCCACTCAAGGCTTGGATGTTTGGTGTGTGTATGCGTTTATTCTGTGTTTGTGCTGTCCTGTGTTTAGGTAGCGGCCTTGCGACGAGCTGATCACTCGTCCAAGAAGTCCTACCGACTGTGAAAATTGATTACGAAATTGAATAAGAGGTCTGAGCCTTGAATGTCCTGGAAGAGCCATTGAAGAAAGAAAATCAGTTTACAAAGAAATATTGCGACCTTCAGAAGTCTTTAGCGAGTCATCACCATCCTATCTCAGTGGACACTAAACGACTTGTAACGCTGACATAGTGCCGTTAAGAGGTCTATGAATCATTCGACCATCCGAAAAATTCTCTGTTCAAAGAACCGATATATGACTTTGCTAAAAACGTATGAAAGAAGGCGTCTGGTGAGAAAGTAAGGTCAGTTATGACAAATGAAAGTAAGATATTATATAAAGAACCAAGTTAAAATATCTCAGTATTATCCCGCTATGTTGGTTCTTAAACCAACGGATCGTGATGCTGCTCGTGTGATTTTTGTTGTATCTCTGTTATGCACTTTTTCTTCCACAGAGAGCATAAGATGAAAGTGTATAATTACGTAACGTCTGGTTATTTGTTCATTCTCCCGAAATTTAAATCATTAAAATTACCTAGGGAACTACCCCCCAGTGCCCATCGGATAGGATGAATCAGCGTGAGTAGGTTGCTGCAGACACGCTGGTTCCTCGCTTGCGGATGTTTATACTCTGACGATGGAGGCGATATGTTCCTCCGAAACGTCTGTTTACACAATATATACACAGTGCCACATCGCAGAAGACGGCATTCTTCATCTAATGGAGATCTTCAACTTTTACGTCAAACATGTTTTCTTGCTGTGAATATTTATCTAATTGAGCCGAAGAGTAACATACGTACGTTAAGAGCAGTCTCATCTCTTCAGAGCCCATATTAAATTCAGTACGAATATCATTCCTTGCATGTATCTCTAGGGATGAAACAACACCAGAACCTCGGAATGGATTTTAATGAAATAATGTATTGAGCAATGTTCTTAAATTTGTCGACACTTCCAGTTCTGAATAAAATGCGCAAGTTTTGCCGTCTTCAAGGTGATCAAACAAACGAGTGCTATGTGTACTTTTCAGAGATGTATATTCATCACTCAACAATAATTTCCCGGCTTCCGAGCAAGCGAAGACTGTACATGCTCTGCTACCGTGACCGGCAATGTATAAGAATAATACACGTATATAAGAATTCAGTTCGTACCTCACAGGAAACAGATCCGAACCCACGATCCCGGCTTCCGAGCGAGCGAAGACGGTTCATGCCTTAGACCGCTCTGCTACCGTGACCGACAATGTATAGGAATAATACACGTATATAAGAATTCAGTTCGTACCTCACAGGAAACAGATCCGAACCCACGATCCCGGCTTCCGAGCGAGCGAAGACAGTTCATGCCTTAGACCTCTCGGCTACCGTGACCGAAAAAGGAGCCCTCTTGCCTCTAGAATATTTCTTATTCTCAATCACATGAGGTCAATGTAACCTTACACGAAAACAAATGGTTTACTTGTATCAAAAAATTGTCAGTTAGAAAAAGAACGAAAGAAAAACTTAACTGAGTTTAGGCGGCGTTGAAATCAGATTTTACGCTCTCAATGTAGTGCTATATCACAGCACGGCTTTGAAATATTTATAATTCCTTTTGCAGATCTCGTAATTTAAGTATACTTTCACAATTTTGTCTCTTAACGTAAAAACAACGGGTTCATAACTGCAATAACTGAACATCAAGGCCAGTCAGTTTTGAAAAGTAGGAAAGAACATACATGGAAAAGGTCTCTTGCATTTTCTGACCTTGTGCTTTCTCAGAAACACCAACTAATACTTGGTTGCAATTAACACTTAAATAAAATGCATTAGACAAGGATCTCTTACTCATATTGCAGTTTCTGGACTGCGACAATCTGTAGCCTGGTGGGTGGCTGAAGAAATATGCCTTCATCTTCAAGGAAAAGGAGGAGTCAGGGTCAGGTGACTGGATGTGCCTCAGGGTGGATTTAGACATATTTCCCTTGTCTGGAATCGAATCCAGGCTGCCCAGTATTTAAGACAATCATTTTACTAAGTGAGCCTTATTCCTTGGGCCTTAATTCCTGGAAATTCCTATGACGTCACTTTTATTTTTATCAGCTGTTGCGCTGTTTTTACTATCTCCATCAGGTGGTACAAAAAAGTAGTTTCCGAGTGATTATATATTTTTAATTGACAGAAAATATAATTTCTCGGAAATTTCCGACACCCATGCGTGTTATGATACAAATCTGTATACATTACGAAAGAATTGTAATTATTTCTCAGTAACTGGACTCAATAAATTACGATGTATCCTTCGTTCTTGCAACGTCAATAAAAGTGAATAGCGTACAATGACGTGCTGTTTGCACAAGTAAACAAACTACTTATTTTCGCAACCGTCGAACAGGTAGATCAGTCTTATTTGTTTCTGTTTGTTTAGCGGCGCTGTCAATGGTTCAGTCTATACAGCGCCAAATAGCAGAATTGTTAGTAGATATCACTCATCCATGGAGCTGAGATCATCTTGTGAAGCCGCCAATTGTGCAGCTACTCAAGAACTTCCCAGCATTTTATGGAACCCGAAGGTTCATTACCGTGTTCACAAGAGCCCTCCACCGGTTCCTATCCTGAGCCAGATCGATCCAGTCCACACCACCCAATCCTATCTCTCTAAGAGACGGTTAGTGGATACAAAAAACCAAATTCACAATTAAAACAGGTAAAAGACTGAAATTTGGCTATTCAAGCAACAAAGAGGGATAAAATCAAATAAGACAGCTGGGACGCAAATTCTCTACCAAATTTGCAAAATTTAAACCTAAACTGAAATAGGGATATACGGCAAAGGAAACAAACGATGAAACAAAGACTGAAGATTTGATTGCCTTGGAGGGACTAGGGACCTAACAAGATAGAGGCGTTAATGAAAGCTAAACCGTGCTGGACTTACACTGCAGGTACTTGGAATGTATACTTTGCAATTCGGCTAGTGTGCTGAGAGCTCCCAGGAAGGGAGAAGTTTTGAAAGGAGATTTTAATGGAAAAGAGGAAACCCAATAAACATAAAAATGTAACCCCCCTCCCCCCCGCTGTCAGCATTACCTGTGTTTTTGAACACTATCCTTCGTCTTGTCTATTTTTTAATAGACCGGTCCGCAGATAGGGGCTAGCTCTACCTTGGACCCAACTGAATCAGTTTTGCATGAGGACGAGGACAGAATCCGAAACGTTGTATTTTGAAAAAGAAACAGGATTTTTTTTAAATAGACAAGACGATGGATAAAGTCCGAAAACATAATACTTGTAGCAATATATATATCATCATCAAAAACTCTTAGATCTTATTACCTGTGTGTTCACAACATTATCGTCTTTTTCTAATGTTCAGTAAATTTTTTTAATTTTAAAAATATATTAGTACTGCGAACATACATTGGAACTATCTGCATATCTTTGCTCAGTAATGTCATAGAAAGTGTGTTAATATTACTCACATCTTACAAGGCGAAGGTGAAATTGTTCCTATGCTTAAACTAAGTAATCAAGAACCCATAAAGGCGTATGGGGAATAGTTACATAGATCCACGTTTTCTTGACCTCGGCACTAGTTGGAGGTGAGTGGTCAGCTTCACCTCTGGAGAAAGATCCCCTGGTATCCATTGGATGGGAGGCTGAGTGGACCCCAGGGCCGGTGTAGACGACGTGAAGAAGAGAATATTCTTCACCCTACCAGGAGTGAAACTCCGATCCCTTGTTCGTCCAGTCCGTATCCAGTCGCTATACAGACTGCGCCATCCTGACTCCCCACCCAAATCTTATACTGATAACTTTTATTAAACAACATTAAGAATAAAAATTAATAAATTAATAAATTTGATTTTGATTCCGGGAAAAAAGACGAAAACGATAGGGACACTGTTTTCAAGGGACCTCTTACCGTATAAAAATATTTCTTAACCCCTCCCATTACAGTTTATTTTTTGTTTAAAGAGACTTCTGTTATTATATTTCCATAGTAATATACTGTCACGTGTACCTGGTCGTGACTAATAAACGGGGTTTGGATTGGATGATTCGATTTACTGATCACTTCTTTACAATCCACTCGTAATTAAAATCAATTACAATAAATCATAATCAATCTTCAGCCGAGGCCTTCTTCCTTGACTGCCGAGGACTCGCTCCATTCTGATTCTGTCAAAGTCAAAGTCACATTGCGACTGACAAGTCAGACAGTCAGTAAGTCTTGATGTCGAGCCCCATTTGGGGCTCATGTCCAGATATTTATTACTGCTTGACAGTTACAGTTTTGTTTCTGTGGGGCGTCGTCTCTGAGGAGAGGACGGGTCTGTCGTTTATAATTGCTGCTGGTCCTAGCCAGAGCAGTCATTCTCTGGTCCGAGTCCCTAGGAACTCGTGACCATATTTTCTGTCTCAGATTTGAGACTTCCCTTTTGTGTCGTCTCCTGCGACTCGCAGGGTCACGGTGGAGGTATTCGACCTCGCTTCTATACGGGTAATCTGATTCTGTTCTGTACTACTTCTATAGCCCCGAGGCTGATCCATACAAAACACTTCCATTTCCTAGTAATGGACGTCTACTGTTGTCCAGAACGCGAGTCTACCGATCCGTTACCTAACAAGGGATGTCTTATTGTGGAGCGCTTGTGTCACGGGGACGTGTTTACCGAGCCGTTACCTAGCAATGGACATATGCGTCGCAAGATAATTTATATTTGCACATGTAAGTGAGAAGAGAAGCTCTCTGACTTACACTTTCCATTGCATAGCACGCGAAAACCTCATTGGTGGGATGGAACGTTTTTATTTGGTTGCGAATGAGGTAAGCTCAGAAGCTGCGTCTGCCCGTCAGTTCCGTATGCTTAAGTACGAACCAAATGTCACCTTATTAGCAAACACGACTAAATGTGTACACTATAAACAATTTATCAAGGAAAATTCTACGCATTGAATCCTGAAAATAATATACCCAGGGGAAACGTTTAATATACAAAATCACTGCTTTCATCCTTCGGTCAGGACAAATGTAGATGGGACTAATTTACCCTGAAGATGGAAGCGACGGGTTCCTACGTAACGTTGGTACTTATTTACCGACCTATGCGACATATCCCTGACCATAATCTTCGATTTACAAAACAACCAGCAGGAAGTTGAACATGCTAATAGTTACGGGATCTGCCGCTAGATGACATAAGAGATCATGAAAGTTAAGTAAATAAATATTAGATGGCAGGTATATCTATAATTGTCCAGTTGCTAAGTTTAGGGGCAGGATGGGCTTTGCCTAGACCTTTTTTGTACATACATTTATTAAAGAAAACGAAAGGAGAATTGGTACGTTTGTTGCAATGCCTCAAGCAAACGTAATTCAGGCAGTAAATATACTGAGGAAAGAAAGAAAATTTGGCAGCACAATCTTCGTCCATTGAATACATAAACATCGACCGACAAATTAAAAATAAATTGATACTGAGATTTTTTTTGACGATCAAAACAAATTTGTTTCTGACCTAACTGAAGGAGGAGGTGCTTGTTATTTAAGTACGCTCTTTCACGGCAGAGATAACGTAGCATCACAAGATAACGGAAGATGCTCATAAATTTTGAGATGATAAAGGAATATTGGTGTAACTATGAAAAAATTCAGGTATGATATTAGGAACTTGGCGCAGATCCGAAACTGGTACCCCTAGAATACAAATTTAGAGTTTTATTGCTACGCCATCCTACTCAGTGCTATAAAATTGCATATCAAACAATCATTAATACCAACAGAATAAAAGTTTTAAATACAGATTTTTTTTTTTACATTTTGGAGTATTTTTCGGATTTGGGGTAAAAACAGATTTAACACTTCAGTTGGCATATTTATTTCAGACATAACTCTCTGAAGAAGTCCTAAATACAAATTTCTTTACGATTCACATTTCTTCCAGACACTTCGATAGTTGTGTACAAATAAAGTGATAGACAAGTCAGAGAAATAGGCGTATTCGGAGATCCTAATAGACGCATAGCTCTTTCTAAATTGCAGCTAACAACGAAAATCGAATCACATGGTGAGAAGACTTCTCTTAGATATGTAGGATTTGAGGTTCTCACAGCGGCAGTTATGACCCCCTAAGGCTGGGATCAGTTATACCAATCACTGAGTAGACCGCCTGACTCAGATATCTCACACATCGATTGTAAACTACCCACGTACATTTACTGGCACCCAACGATCACTCCCTACTTTCTGAAATACCTACCCCTTCTGTGCGGAAGGTGGTCGGAGCGACATTCAAGATGAGATCGGGAGGTAATAGCAGTGCAAGATGAAAATCATCCTAAAACGTGAACCAATCACCCCCAAAGCGGGTCGATTACATAAGAAGTGACGCTACAGGTGGGCCAACATAAAGGTGACACACAAACGTAGAGCGGTGATGCACCAAAGTGGAAAGATCATAGATGATAGAATATTCATGGAGACACCAATAACATTCTTTAAGATTTCATATTAAGAGTGTAGACAATATACTTGCAAGGAGATATCAATTCAAATCGAAGGATTTAAGAACAACAATTTTATTTCTATNCCAGAGTGGTTTGAACGGCTGTTGTACTGCGATGTGGAAAGCAAATGGAAAAACTACCACATTATCACTTTTCCTGGATAGTCTCTTTCCAAAAACAGAAGATCGCATTAAGTGGAGGAACTGTTTTGGAAGAGACTGTGGACCTGTCGTCTGACAGATTACTGATGAATGAATGAATCAAGCAAGAAATATAACCAAATTAATTTCTGTATAACTAGATACATTTCTATTAATTCTCACTATTTATTCGGAATTAAATTCCAATAACAACAAACATGCACAATAAGAAGTCCCAATTTTATAATTCCCATTATTTCACAACTGGATATACTGTAACGTAATATAATATATTTAAGGACCTTGCCTAATTAGTAGAGACAGTAAGGATATTTAAATATTCTCCAGTGCTCCATCAGACATACATTAGTAAATACATTTACATATATGACACTAATAGGTTAAGAATATGGCCCGTCGTATGTGCAGAGAGATGAAATGTAACTCCTCACATGTAAGTCACATTTATCTGGCCGTCTGTCTCTTGGTTAATGTCGAATGAGCTTTCGATGAACTCATTTTAATTGCTTTTTAATACTGTGAGTTCACTCGGAAGTAAAAACGTAAAGCGAGGTTTTCAATCAGTTCAACCAATAAGTACTTTAATTGAAGACCTTTTTACTTGAATCTCTTTGCACATCTTAGGCGTTCTATCACTTTATATGTTGCACAAGGTTGGAACGTTTTTCGGATGCGTTGAATCAGGACTTAGAATAGCGGACGATCACATAGCGGAGCCACTTGTCCTGCAACGCCTGTCCTGCTTCTTCCCGCCCTGTGCTGGATGCGTACAGCTTGTTATCCTCTGGTGCGGAGGTCACATTAAGGTCCACAACTCCCACATCATGTGCTGTTGCAATTACTGCACTGGGTTCGTGTTGGTATCTGTAAGCGTATATGTCCGGTCGACGCCCAGCACCGGCAACTAACCAGGAATAATGTGGACAATGATGAAATAAATATATGATGTCAGCATTATCCTCCAACGAAGAGAAGGTGAGACAAACTGTGGGTAGAATTGGTCATTTAGTGTACCGAGGAGAACGGTAAAAGTAGTCTGAAGTTCGTGTTGATATTTTGAGCTTCCTCAGTATAAGGGGACGGGCCGTAATAACTGCCTCGCTTTCTCTTTTTTGCAGGATAGTAGTTTATAATGTTTCTTGTTAAAGATTAAGTTATAACAAATATAAATGTGCAACATTATTTACTTACTCATGGAGCTGAGCCCTTCTGGAGGAGCCGACATTTGTACAGCTACTCAAGAATTTCCCAGCATTTTATTGAACCCGAAGGTTCATCACCGTGTTCACAAGAGCCCTCCACTGGTCCCTATCCTGAGCCAGATCAAGCAAATCCATACCACCCCATTCTACCTCTCCAATATCCACCTACGCCTTTGTCTTCCCAGTGATCTCTTTCCTTCTGGCTTTCCCACGAATATTCTATATGCATTCCTCTTCTCCCCCATTCGTGCTACATGCCCTGCCCTTCTCATTCTCCTTGACTTGATCATTCTAACTATACTTGGAGAAGAGTACAAATTATAAAGCACCTCGTTATGCAGTTTTCTCCAACCTCTGTCTGTTATGGTAACTTAAAAAAGGTCGACTGTCTTTTTCAAATTCTTTACAGTGATTTTTTTTAGATATCCACAGTAATTAGTGAAGAACATGAAGAATGTTGGAAGTATTTTAAGAGAGGTAAAAGACGGTAACAGGCCACGGAGGCCCATAGGGTTGTGAGGCGTTGGGGGTCCCACATTATCCAGACAATCGGCTCACAGAAGGCGCTAAGGTTGTCAGGTTCATGCGCTTTTACCCACTAGGAAGATTCCTGGTGCTCATTTCTGTTAGAGGCTGAGTCGACCCCAGGGCCAGAGTGCGGCTGGAAGGATTAGGTCAATTGAAGAATTCCACCTCATCGGGACTCGAACCCGCGACCTTAGGGCTTGTAGCATAGTGCCTCAACCAACTACACTATCGCGTTCCCCCCAGTATTTTAAGAAAGACGAAGGAAATCAGTCAGTTTGTTGCCAGATATGTTTTAAATCATTGTAGTGTAAAGAACCACCGACTAATGGACTTCATAGGCATCTCGAATATATTCATGGCATCAAAAACGACAAAAAGCTCTGAAAATAATCCTGATGAGCCACTGCCTATTGTGACATTAAAGTAGAGTTCTCAATTGTCCCATTTTCCCGGGACAGTCCCGTTTTTTCATATAATGTCCCCCTTTTAAGTGCTCTTCGGTAACATTAATTTCCATCGATAACCTCTCGGTAACGGATGCCATTCTCTGCGATTGGCATTTCTATAACGCTGTTAACACGCCTGGTGGCTAATCAACAATTTCACAAATTAGTTGTTTTTCTGTTGGCAATATGTATTTTTCCCCCATTTCTGTTGGTAGTACTTTGATAACGGAAGTTCTGGTTGTGTCATTATCTACATTCTTTGTCATCCGTTGCGTTGTGTTCTGACAGCTTGTGAGAATTTATCGGTTTTCATCCGCATAGTGACGGCAAAATGCAAGTGCAGTATTAATAACAGTAGTAAAGGCGAATATCCGTTTGTTAAAGGCGTGAATGAGAATGGTGAATGCACGTTATGGACGGCGAAATTTTGCATTGGACATGTTGGTTGGTCGGACGTCGTCAATTGACTTTTTATCATGTTAATTTTTACCAAATTTCCAGTTTTTTAGGAGGGAAATAGAAATGTCCTGTTTCTTTTAATTATGGGAACCCTAAGTTAAAGTCACGAAATTAATATGATGTTTTAAGAACAGTTGAAATGCAACAAAACAAACTAAAATAAGTTTCCTTTTCGTTAACGGTACATTAACACACAGAGATATTGGGTTTTCGGACTTTATCCATCGTCCTGGTTTTAAAATAACTAAGAAAAACATGACGTTTCGGAAACTGGAACTGTTTCCGTCCTCAGGTGAGGGAAAGACACTTATTCTCTTGAGTCCCTTAGAAAGATTGTCCAGTGATTGAGGCTAGCTCTTTCTAAGGGACCCAACAGAATAGGTGTTTTCCCCTCACCTGAAGACGGAAACAGATCCAGTTTCCGAAACGTCGTGTTTTACTTAATTATCTTAAAACCAGGACGATGGATAAAGTCCGAAAACCCAATATTTGTGTGTGTTGTGCACCATCGTCAGAATCCTATAGTAACTGCTGGTACATTAACACGTCGAAGCCTCAGATTCGTCGAAAAATATTCTTGAAAATTAACTTCCTTCCTCTTATAACATACGTAAACTGCATCTGCTTCGAAAAAATCAATCTATTAATGTTGTCTAGGAAATTAATCGTTGTTTATTTTAAGAATAATAAGAAACGGAGGAATTCAATCAATGGGCAAGACACAAGGTTCCTTTACGGTGATGCAGTTTGCTCATGTTGTCTCGTACAATACTGTACTTTGCACTATTGATCTCATGAAGAAGTAAACTAATTACGAGGTGGAAGTACACATGCTGTAAAAACACACTTATAATGTTTATGTTTTGTTGATATCTTTGTACGTTTCGGCGGTTCAGCTCGAAAATGTCCGGCCGGATTTCTGCCTCCCGTACTTTGCCCCGTTCAATAATAGTAGAACTGCGCCGTAGAGCAACAGAGAGAGGGAGGCCGCTTTCAAAATATGAATGGGATGCTCGTAGGACTAAACTGCGCTCGTTGGTCCCATGGTGTAATGGTTAGCACTCTGGACTCTGAATCCAGCGATCCGAGTTCAAGTCTCGGTGGGACCTGATGATTTTTTTTGCCTGCATACGCTACGCGAATGTTGTACATGAGAGTATTATACTTATAGAAAACTAAATGTGTTATAGTCATTGACTGGCTATTATGAATAATATCCGACGAGTAGACAGGCCTATAATTACCATCTGGTAGCCTTATGAAATCGGGCCTTATTATTCGTAGTAAATGGATTAGTCACTTCCAACGTAACTTACACATAAAAATGTTAGGCCTTTTTCTGCACATGATTAAGAAACATATTCTATAATTCACCGAAGAAAAACGAGAGGAAATTCAATGAAACTATGGTCATTTAAGATTCTGCAACCATCACGTGGTTTTATTTAAGGCCATTCAATAAATTTTCTAAACACATCACAACTCATTCAGGATTTGAGGTTCTTAAAGATATTACGAATAATTCTATCTTCTACATAACGTCGTGTAGGCTATTGAAAGTCAACTGGCTGTGCTTTCACGATGGTTTCTTATTTGAATTGTTCTCCGACACTGAGAATGTAAGCGACATGTTCCTCCGAAACGTCGGTTTACTTTGAACGGACTACACGACGTTATATCACAGAAGACAGAACTCTTCACATCATAAATCAGTATTCTTCGATTAATTTAGTTTCTGTAATGTATTCTAATTTGTTATTTGGTAGACCTAATTGTTGCATATATGGTGAAGATAATTCTTGCAGTTTAGGTCTAAGAAATAACTGAAATGCATAGTCCTTACGATAGTTGGGTACAAGGATCCAGTAGGAACAATATAACTCAGTCATGTTTTCCAGGTTTGAGTGTTCTCACAACTTCATTATACAGGATTTTATACTGTGAAGCATTTCAGGTTCTTAGAGGCATGGTTGTGAAGAGTTCTATCTCCTGGGACATACCGCCGGAGTACACGGAGTTATATGTCCCAGAAGACAGAACTCTTCAGACATTCTACTCTTCAGCATTATCTCACTCATGTCATTACTTAATTACCTATCACTACACAACCGCTATAAGTTGCAACCTAACCAGTAACAGTAAGTCATGACATCGCTTCTCGGGAGTAATACAATAAATTAAAACGTTTTTTAAATGAATTTGAATGTCACGGAGAAAAGAAGAGAATGTAGTGCTTAGTTCTTAGCTGCGACTAACACGCTGCTCGGATCGAATGTGGAAAACTATTTTCTCTAGGCTGTTATCTCGAAATTTCCACAACATTCTGGAACTGTGTGAGAAGTGCCTAGTTTATATTCTACAATTGATTTAATAATTATCTGACACCATTTTGTCTTCCTGATGTTTTCCATTGCCACTGGAGGCATGGATGTACATATGCGTCTTTTTTGTGTTTGTGTTGCCCTGCGTAGGTACGTGCCTTGCGATGGGTTGATCCATCATCCAAGGTGTCCTACCTACCGAATGCTTATAAACAAGAATCCGAAATCTAAAAAGCGGAGATCTTAGACCGCCTTGGTCTATCGTGATATAGAAGAAGAAGAAGAAGAAGAAGAAGAAGAAGAAGAAGAGATCTTCCAACTTGAATATGCAGGGTATCTAAACATCAATTGATGGTTTTTGCTCAGGCACTCTTACAATATCTGTTGACATTGGGATGGAAATTGTATTAAATAATGTGCTTACATTTTTATCACAGCTCTAAGAATTGACTAGACATCGCACCCGTATCGGGCAATCGATTCTAATTACGTAACCCATTAGTAGCAGAACGTGAAGTTTCAACATAGCTAAAATAAAAGTTCGTCTTTGGTGCGACATTTAGCCGGTTCCATACAAGTACAATTGTATGTGCCACCTACCCGAACATGCTATAATTCTCCAATTTGCCCATGGAACGTATTTGTTTAGTATTTTTCTCACAATAAACAGCATTAACCGGTTCGTATTTGTAGCGGAGATGTAATGTGTTTCCTGTGAGGTAAGAACTTTATTTTATATATCATTTAAAGAAAATCAGTCCTTATTAGCACTCCCACATGGAGGAGGGTTCGAATACTTCCACTGTAGCCCTGGGAGTCGCAGGAGGTGATGAAAAGGAAACCCAGTGCCTGGGGATATAACTGGGCCACCCTGTTCCTGGGGGATATAAATATGGGGACCTGACCCTCCATGCTGGGGGAGTCTCGAATAAAATATAGTTATGTGCCTCCAGGGACTCGGGCCCGAGAATGACTGCACTGGCGAGTTCCAGCAGAAATTGTAAATGACAGATCCGTCCTCTCGTCAGAGAGGGCGCCCCACATCAACAAACCCGGAACTGACAGTAATAAAAATCTGGTCTTGGCGCCCAAAATGTGTGCTTTATTCCAAGACAGACTGGTCATAATATAACTTTGAAAATGACAGTACTTAAATGGTTCATATTGCTTCAATTTCCTTGCCAGCTTTCAAGCGACCGCTTTCTAAGAGGGTTCCTCACCAAAATTCTGTAAGCATTCCTTAATATCACAAGCCCAGTTGAAAGTCAAGCCCATACTAGGCTCCTAGATTCACTATACTGATAAGTACCTGTAAGTACCTTATAGTAGTAATGAAGTTTCACGTTTCGGACAGGCTGACACTGCAACCCACTGTAAGCTTTAGGTTTCTTGAGGGAGTACAATTATGTATTTTTTCAGCCGTCGGAAGGAGATGGACCTGATTGGTTAGTGTAACGGCCCTGCAGCATTAATCCATGGAAAGAGCTCCTAGGATACATTGGTTACGCTGCTGGGCCGGTCCCTGGACAGTTTTAATTCGGCAACAAAAAGAAAATTCAGCGCCTCCTTCAGGATTACAGCCCCAAATCTCCATCCGTCGAGCTGATAGGCTAGATAAAAAAAAAACTCCGTGGCTTTTAATCCGCAAGCGAACTCTACAGACTGAGCGACTACCGCTTGTCGGCGAAGTTAATGCCAAATTTTTGCGGATAGACAGTGACGCGTGGTCAGTGCAACGGATCCCCACGGTCATAAGCTAGATATTACACTAAATTATCGGGCTATCCTTCCACGTTTTAACACATTAAAATGAATAAATACTGTGACATGTTGAACCCTACCTCCCCAGCGGTACGTGGCGGTAACGTAAGGCTCGCGTTACTACGGTAATAGGCGAGTTCCCGCCCCGCCACTCCCCTCCGCGGTGACGTCACCGAGGGATATCGCGGTCGCTAGGCAACGCGAGTCAACAGCGGCGACGTTACGATAGTAACAGCGGTTACCTCCGCTAGCGTTACAGAGCAACACAGCGCCAGGCAAAAAGGGTGCCTATTACGTGGCCGTTTTCCCGTACTGTCCGATCGAGGCTACATACGGAGCAGCGAAGGCTATTCACAGTTAGTTCTAGTGTGGCTACCGCAGAGTTGTACTAGCGAGTTGTACTGAGTTGTACTGTGAGAGTCAGTGAGTCCGGGAGCTACCTACGAGTCCACGAGTTAGCCAGCAACTAGTCAGTTGTATTGTGGCATTTGGAGTGTACTATTTGTGATACTGCAGATAGCAGTAATCGTAAATCTGTAATTTGGGTGATTGTAAGTGCGAATGTGAAATAAAATTCGCTACATCGAATACATCGAGAATTTATTTGTCGCGATATACGCCCGATACGCGACAATACCTTAATATTTAAATGAATCACGCTTTTAAACTTCATAATTAAGATTACAGGATTGAAATGTATATTCACCACAGAGCACGCCACCCGTGCACTCGGAATCCTCGGGGCAGCGGCTGCAGGGCGCGCCTGTGAGGTACAGAGGTTCGCCTCTGTAGTTCCCTGTGGGCCCATAGTTACATACATAGTGTTCTACATAGAACTGTCCCTTTCGAAATGATCGGCGACCGCAGCCCACAAATCGAGTTTGGGCCCAAACCACTTGAGTGTAATGCGCTGTCATCTTCTGAGTTCCAGTGAACCTGTTTGATGGAAATGATTTCATTGTTACTGAAGTATAATCAGTGTCCTACCGTGCTTGACAAAAATAAATACACACTCAATTTTTTTTCCCCTTGACACTACAGCCCCAATGGGCCTAGGCCTACCTCCATGAACTTCTCCGTTCACTTCGATTTTTCTAGATCTTACACATTCGGTAGGACTCCTTGGGCGGGTGATCAGCTCGTCGCAAGGCCTCTACCTGTACACAAACACAGAAAAACGCACACAAACATCCATGCCCTGAGTGGGATTCGAACCCACGATCCCGGCTTCCGAACGAGCGAAGACAGTGCATGCCTTAGACCGCCCGGCTACCATGGCCGGAAAATACACACTCATACCTGTTTAAAAAGAATAATTCCATTGTTAGCGAAGTAAAATTAGTTTTTATAAGCTGCCCTATAATAATGATTATTCCCATAAACCTGCTTAAAGAAACTTGTTTTGTTGTTTCAGCAGTGCTCTATAGTAACGAATACGGCGTTGAACAAATTTAATCGGAATTATTTTTCTGTATTACATGTGTAACGAAGTATCTGCGGTGCTTTATGATAATAATTAATTTCAGTGAATTAAGATATGAAAGTAAGAGCAGATCTGTACGTAGGATTTCTTCACAGAACTACAAAAGAAGAAACGAGTATAGTGGGCTTAAGTATGTTGTACAAGTAAAAAGAAGGTATAGGTATCCCTGTAACAGACCGTGGAGGCCCATACGCTTGTGAGACGTCGAGGCTCCCACATTTTCTATACAATTAGCTCACAGATGGCAGTGAGATTGTCAGCCTTACGCGCCGGTTGCCCTTTATCACCACGAAGATTCCTGGTACTCATTTCTGTTAGAGGCTGAGTCGACCCTAGGGTCATAGTACGGCTTGAATCATTAGGTCAATTGAAAAATCCAGTGACCTCATCGGGAATTGAACCCGCGAACTTCCGGTTTGTAACATAATACCTCAAACAACTACGCTACCGCGTGCCCCATGCATTACGTGTACTCATTTCAATTTCGGAAATAGAGTGGCATATTTAAATGCTTAAACAATTACGTCTGAGTGTAATATATTTTATATTTTTCTGAGGAAAAGAGATAAAACACAAATGTCTGAAAACAGAATGTTCAGGAAAATATCTAGAGCTAAGAAGTACGAAGAACGTGGACAGCAATGTCGTAACAAAAGGACGAATGTTCATTAATATTAATGGACAACTTGCACTCCGCTTTGGTAGTAAAATAAGCCAGCCGCAACCTTCTAGTTCGGACGGGGCACGTAGAATTCTGAAGGGAGAACATGGAAATAAATCACTTGGTAAACCTAGAAGAAGATGGGGTGATAACATTAAGAAGAATACTAAGAATCATATTATGAGAATGGGAAGTATACAACACTAATCAGTTCTAGATGGCGGACCTTAATATTAGTGGTGCCTGAATCTTCGGGCTATCAGGGGGCCAGTCAATTAAATTAATTTGAAGTTGGGCAGTTAGTTATCCATCTAGTTAGTAAGTTAGTTAACAAGGCAATTAGTTAGGTCAGTTATACCTGAATTTCGGAGTATCCGCTGACGACCAACTGCCCACTTCGTCGTACCAGCTCCTAATAACTTGCTGCCACTGTATGACAGGTGCCACACTGTTCCAAAACTGAGCGATATTCTGCCCTACCTTAAAATCCTCTGCAACAAAACCATTCTCTATATCAGAGTCCTACAACATTTTAAGAATACAAATAATAAAAGCCAAAATATTTAATAAGTAAGGTATAGTTATCCCTGTAACAGGCCGTGGAGGACCAAAGGTTTGCGAGAGGTTGACTCTCCCACATTATCTATACAGTCGGCTCACAGATGGCGGTAAGGTTGTCAGCCTTACGCGCTGGTCACCCTTTATGCCCGAGGAAGATTCCTGGTACTCGTTTCTGTTAGAGGCTGAGTCGACCTCAGGGCCATAGTGCAGCTGGAAGGATTAGGCAAATTGGAAAAAATCCACTTCATCGGGATTCGAACCTACGACCTTCCGGCTTGTAGCACAATGCCTCAACCAACTACGCTACCGCGTGCCCCGTTTAATAAATGACCAAATTAAGGTACCCTGTTCTTAAGCACAATATCATGAAAGGGCAGGAGGGACCCTACGTTAAAGGTACATATTTACTATCCAGTCTCTCCAAAACTTTGAGTGAATGTGCGTAGCTAATCTACAGAGACACGAACTTGTGACAGCTAGTCTATAACTCTACACAGGCCCTACAAATTGAACTAAGGAGAGACAAGTCCCTTGCAGTCAGTCATGATGGTTTACAAGCTAATGTTGTGCAGAACTGAGCTACTTCACTAGCCTGGTTTCGAACTTATTAAATACATCACATAATAACTCTAACTGTAGCATTAAATCAGTCCAGTGAGCATTTTCTGGGAGCGCGGATCCAGCGGAAGTGTCGGGCGCTTTTCCGTCAAGTCGGACCAACTCATAGCGAGCAAGTTCCCTTCACAGTAGCGTTATCTAGAAAAGTCATCGTAACCTCCTTAAATCAATACAGCGCCTCGGGATCAGCAACGAGGCTTTACTCACCAAAGAAGTGACAGCTGTTGGAATAATGAGTTATCCAGTGTCAAAAATGTGATAGAACATAACAAATCATATATGTAGCCTTACACGTTTCTAATGGTTGAACCCATCTTCATAGGCATGACAACAATCTAAAGGCCCTATCTTTGCACAATTAACAGAAGATATGGCTTGCAGTAGTGTTTATGTGATGCATACAAGAATATCTAACGAACCATATGTTTACTGCAAAATAAAATGATAAGAAATATATATTTTTTAATTTTTAATTTATGACTCTGGACCACATTTAAGATCTACAATTGTAAAGCTAATTTCCTTCTGTTATCACTCCCATGAGGATGGCCCCAAGGGGTTGAAATATGGAAGATTACACATCTAATTTAATTTATTCTATTAAATTCTTTATACTGGATGACTTGTTATTCAGATAATAACTAAAACCTGTAATGATGATATCACATACTGAAAGAAGTTCTGGGAAGAACTAATCGACTACGTTCCTTTGATACGACACGGACCGCATAGAAAACTATCTGTTCAAAAGTTCTATTGTTGCGTGTTTATTTGTTGCCATGGTAATATAATTACTGAACTGTTGCGTAACAACGATAAGGGGTTACTCATACAGACACACAGACTGATGGGAGGGATTTAGGAAGTACACCGTTAAGATGGGATCAGATGCCATGATATACATATCAAGTTTCATAAAGATTGGTTCAGCTATTAAAAAAGGAAGGCCTTCACAGACATGCTGACAGCATGATGGCCTCATAAGCATATTTCTAGGAAAGTAGGCTGAAAATGTTAGCAGTTTTATTCAAATGCAATGAACAAATGTGGGAGTTTTAATGTTGGAATGTACACATATCGACAAGAAGTTGAGTTAATTTCGTCAGAACTTCGTTCCATTTCTAGGTTAGAAATAAAATCAGGCAACTGTACTGCATCACTCACCAACGTGACGGCAGTCATGCTGAAAGGCGCACTGATCGGCCCAGAGCTGAGCTACTCTCGCTAGTTCTTCGTCCCAGTTGTACAAACAAAAACAAAAAAAAAAAAAAAAACTCCATGGCCTGAAGTCCGAAAGCTAACTATACCGACCAAGCGACCGCCGCTTGTCGGCGAAGTTCGTCCCAGTTCTACAGGGAAATTAAAATAAGTTAGGAATTGCACACAGCTTCCACTCACTAACAGCATAACCATGCACATTCCTAAGATACTTTAAGATAATTAGACATCAAACATATGGGAATGGGACTAAGATAAAAGCTATAATTGAGGTCCTTATGAGACAATTTAGTATTAAGAACTCAGAGATCTGTGGAGATATTAGAGACAAATCGTGGAGAACTGAGCATGCAACATGAACTCAAGTTCTTAAGTGATCGTCATCTTTAAAATTGTATGCGAGGGAGAGTCAGTAAATAGAACAGAAATGGAAGTAATATGTTTTCTATGTGTATCACTAGGTAGCAGCAGAGTCCAGCTTCGTGACAATCTAGGTAGCAGAAGCGCATTCACATGTTCAGATGATTGTTTCAGTAGTCAAAATGGTGACCGTGCTTGAGGGTGTAATACCGAAGAGCAGTGTTGTTTGTACTGTTTTTGTGGAAAAACAACTCGATGCGAAGGATAGTCATAAAGAAATGTTTCCTGTTTAGGGTGTGAAGTGTTTGTAGCTTAAAGCGGTTCCCAACTGAGTCGAGAAATTCTTTCAAGGACTTTCGAAAGTCGCGGATGATGAAAAGGAGGTGCAGAAGTGGCTGAGACAACAGTCAAAAAGACTTCTGTGCTGCGGGTTTCGAAGCACTGGTAAAGCGATGGGACGATTAGTGTATCAATGTTGGTGGAGGATATGTCGAGAAACAAATGTTTTTCCCACGTTAGAATATACAAGTACAGATATTTGTACAGATACACTGTACAAGTTAGTGACAAAATACAAGCAGACTGGATAAAGCCTGGGACGGTTGTTGAAGAGCTTTTTAGAAAATCGTCACAACAGGATGACTGAATTTCGTTCTTGTTTGGGAAGTACTATCTCCTGGGGTGTGATGCCGTGTAGTCTGGTTGAAGTATAGTGACGTTTCATAGGGATGTTAGTAAACTTCTACCCTCCTAAAAGACTTCGAATCACAGAAAGCAAAACTCTTCATATTCATCTCTATGAGAACCTCATATTTACTCTTAAAGGGTTCTATCTTGTGGGATATAACGCCATTGAGCCCGTTATCTCGGAAGATAGAACCCGTCATAACCTCAGCTGTGAGAACCTCAGATGCTACAATATAATTCTTGTACGCTAAGGGTAGTGGAACGTACGGAAGTAGCAAGATACACTCAAGCCGAAAAATACGTGAGATACGGTACATATATCTCTCATCTCTCACATGCATGCTACAAGTTCCGCTCATCTTATCCACCATGATTTGATCTTCCTTATAATATTTGTTGAAGAGTGCGAATTACAGGAGAAAGAAACACATGCGCAACGAAATAAACTCCAGGAAGAGAGGTACAATATAAGAATGTGACCTTCAGAGCTGTGAGGAATGCAGGAAGTTGAAACCATTAAAGGTACGGTAGCAGCATGGATCAGCAACTTCTACCTGAGCCAAAGCAGAATTGCTTTATATCAGTCCAGTTGAACACCACGCAAATACGCTAATGACCAATAAGTTCTGAACTGAGACCATACAGAGTAGGTATGTTTGTTTGCATCCTCTCCACCTCTGAGGGCCCCACTACCCCGCACCCCTCTTCCACAGACCGCAAGTGTGAAGATTAGTGTCTCTAACAGCAAAGGAAACTCCAAGAACTACCAGAGCCATCATGTTGGCGGCAGGTGGCTGTGGTGCTCCCTCTCCTAGACCACGCGCCTCGTTGCCGCTGGCCACCCAGGACCGCAGTCTATTGTGCTCCTGCAGAATCAAGTGTCGCTCCTCCACCTTCACACCCCCGTCCAGGGCGTCTGTGCAAGCGGGGCCAACTCCCTGTGTCACGCAATATAGAGGGTTAGGTTACAAACTCTTGCGCAGATTCTGAAACATTCTAAAGTCTGACGGAATTTTGTAACCCATTGCAGCCAGTCAGGGCCACCCTTTCCGCACAGGAGGGTCCATCTCTATCGGTTTGGATGAGTTCTGTAAGCAGTCGGTTGTGATGTCGTTAAAAGTACGAAAACTCAGTAAAGGCAGTGTTCGAAGTTTTCAGATATGAGAGTCGTGCAATATTAGGTCCATTTTAATTGGATTATTTTTCCCGATATACATGAAAGGAAGATGCAAAAGAGAAGTTTAAAAATCACACATATATAAAACTAAAGGTTTGACCATTTAGTTTCTTGTATGTTATTTTAAAAATTTTCTTTTAATGAGGTGCACCCCTCTGCTGATGTTCTTTTTGGACCAAAGCACATCTGGGTTTTAGCAACACATAGTCATCAGAAGCAATAAGCCAGATATGTTTATGTGGTAATTTGCATAAAATTCGAAAATTAGGGTCCCTTAATCCTAATTATCTATTCAACCAGTGTAGGGTACAAATATATTTGCAATTTCGTTCGAAACACACAGTTAATTAAGTACCCAAATTTCTGGTACTGGCTACTCTTTGCGTATTTGGTAGGAAGGCCCTATTCAGGTATTTACGAAGTCACCCGTTCCTATAAAACCTAAAGCCTCAGCATTTGACACCTCATAAATCTATAATTAGGTCCTATCCTGACCAGTTTTAAACCGTCAATACGCTATTCTCTTATATCAATTTTAATAATATTTTTTCATCTATCACTTATACTGCTTCATATAAATGTGCACACATCTATATTCGTTTGCTGTACTACTCATTCGCTATAAATTCTTGTGTTGGGCATCAGCTTCCTCCTGAACCTTCAAGGGAATACTCTATGGAGGAGAGCCCATTCCTAGAAGCCAAAAAACGTTTAACTACTCACGAAATTACCTACCTTTTATGAATCCCGAAGGTTGTTATAGTGCTTACAATAGCTCGCCACCGGATCATGCACTGAGCTAGATCAATCCGTTCTACACCCTCCTACTCCCCCCACCCCATTTTCTTTAAAAATTGTAACATACAAAGACGACGAAGCTCATCCCTATAAGATTAAGACCCGTGACCAAAGTCTGCAAATAATCGAAGACAATGCGGGCATTAGGCTGCACCGCCGCGGAGATTGGTTTAATAAACATTTGGAATTAAAAATTAGCAAGTGTTATAATCACGGATAGCGACAATGTTTATGACATTACAAACTTTGAAATCCGATCGTCTCCATCTGGCGCCGGGACACAACCCCTTCCCGCTTGCGACGTCTTGACCCAAAGACTAACTATCCCGACGATCTCGACCGACATGTTTAATGCCTTTCCTTCATGGCTCTAAGCAAAAGCTGGGGTATCTAAGGATAGGCTTATACCGCTGGGAATGATATGTTAGCACGCATAGAGAAGAGAAGAGAAGAGAAGAGAAGAGAAGAGAAGAGAAGAGAAGAGAAGAGAAGAGAAGAGAAGAGAAGAGAAGAGAAGAGAAGAGAAGAGAAGAGAAGAGAAGAGAAGAGAAGAGAAGAGAAGAGAAGAGAAGAGAAGAGAAGAGAAGAGAAGAGAAGAGAAGAGAAGAGAAGAGAAGAGAAGAGAAGAGAAGAGAAGAGAAGAGAAGAGAAGAGAAGAGAAGAGAAGAGAAGAGAAGAGAAGAGAAGAGAAGAGAAGAGAAGAGAAGAGAAGAGAAGAGAAGAGAAGAGAAGAGAAGAGAAGAGAAGAGAAGAGAAGAGAAGAGAAGAGAAGAGAAGAGAAGAGAAGAGAAGAGAAGAGAAGAGAAGAGAAGAGAAGAGAAGAGAAGAGAAGAGAAGAGAAGAGAAGAGAAGAGAAGAGAAGAGAAGAGAAGAGAAGAGAAGAGAAGAGAAGAGAAGAGAAGAGAAGAGAAGAGAAGAGAAGAGAAGAGAAGAGAAGAGAAGAGAAGAGAAGAGAAGAGAAGAGAAGAGAAGAGAAGAGAAGAGAAGAGAAGAGAAGAGAAGAGAAGAGAAGAGAAGAGAAGAGAAGAGAAGAGAAGAGAAGAGAAGAGAAGAGAAGAGAAGAGAAGAGAAGAGAAGAGAAGAGAAGAGAAGAGAAGAGAAGAGAAGAGAAGAGAAGAGAAGAGAAGAGACGGTTTTGATGGGGAAACCTGAAGGGAACAGATCACCAGGAACAGCTAGACGTAGACGGGAGGAAAATATTGAAATTGATCGTACAGAATTAGGATGGGGGTGTGAGCTTGATTCACTGGCTTGGGATAAGGGAAGCGACGGGTTCTTGCCAAGACGGTAATGACGTTTCGAGTTCCATAAAATTTTCGGAATTTCTTGGGTGACTGAGCACCTCTTGGCTTCTCAAGAATTACTTAGTACTGTGGACTCAGTTACTTAGTTAGGCTTCCATCCACACATCATCTCCCATTTAAAACTGAGAGAGATGGAGTAATCTGTGCATTTAATAGCTGTCATTAAATATACCAAGCATAAATCCAAAGGAAGAGAAGAAAACAGACGGTAACTTACCCGGTAAAGGCACATGGTGTGATTCGCTCTGTCCCCAGACGAACTCCCTGGCTGACATAGACTGCAATATTTATTTGTGTACTTAGCTATTGCAATGGTGATAATGGCCGCCAGTACAAGACACATGGCGTTACTAACTATGCTTAACATCTTATTTAATTGTACAGCAATTCAGCACCAGACCGCATGAAGATTCGACTCTTAATAGAGTAAATATTCACATTAATGATATTCAGTTAGCTCTGATACTCAACAGAAAATATAATTGAGGTTCCAACTTCTTCCTTTTTATACCTTTATCCATTGCTTTTACAAAATTCCTTCCCTTTTTGTTCGTACAGGAAGTTCTTGACCTTTATGCAAAGGTCTTGTGAAAACGCACGATCTGTGTTGCAGTTCTGTCGCTCTTTGGGAAGAAACCTTGTGGTCATTAATTCTATTTTAATAATAATGAGCTCAGGGTTCAAGGTAATATAACACTACAGACGTTTAATACGGAAACTGCGACGAATTAAATGAAATAAACAGTGTAGCACTTTTTGTTCTCTTGTTTAGCCTTGGTCGCATCGTGCTTTGAGAAAAATATAATGTTATAAATAATTATTTTAAAAACAACATTGTGTTGTAAGGTTACGCATCAAGTAAGTGAAGCAAGGCTTATATAATATCATCAAAAAATTATTTACTACTATTTAAATCATAATCAATAATTTCTCTGTCTTATCGACATTATTTTGAACTGTAGATAGATTTACTCTAAAGGTTTATGAGGATCTGTCTAAAAGCGCAAAGATTAAAATACAAAAACTCTAATATTGCCTGTACACGTAATTTGATAGTTAAACTTGTTATCTGACGTCAAGGGAGGTACATAGACTGAGACTATTTTAGAACAGAGTGCTGAAAAAAGAATTTGGACGTAAGAGAATGAAGTAATTGGAGGGTGGAGGAAGTTACATAATTTTTTAATTCGCTTAAGGGGGTGGAGTCCAGCTGGGTCCACTCAGCACGGGGGCCACTGATTGGCTTTTGTACCTGCACCGGGTGATTATGATAATGGAGAATTTGGTGGAATGAAGATTGGCAAGGGAAACCTAAGTACTCGGAGAAAACCCGGCCCAGCGCCACTTTGTCCACCACAAATCCCACTTGACAAGACCCGGGATGGAACCCAGGCCGCCGCGGTGGGAAGCCAGAGACTAACCGCTTGAGCTTTGGCGAGGTTCCAATTACATAATTAGGCGCTTGTTACATGTAATTAGAATGATCAGTTAAAGCGTGTAAGATGGGGAAGGCATGTAGCACAGATGGGAGGGAAATGGAATGCATACAAGGTATTGGTAGGAAAACATGAAGGAAAGAGAGCACTAGGGATACACAGACGATGGGAAGATAACATTAGAATAGATCATAGAGAAATAGGGTAGGGTGTTACGGAATGGATTCATCCGGCTCAGCATAGAGACCAGTGGCGGGTTCTTGTTAACACGGCAATGAACTTTCTGGTTCCATAAAATATTGGGAAAGTCTTGAGTAGCTGAGCAACTATTGGCTTCTCAAGAATGACTCGGCTGGCCCCACAGTTAGTTAGTTAGTTAGTTAGTTAGTTAGTTAGTTAGTTAGTTAGTAAGGTAATTCCGTTTGTGACTATGGTATATTATTAAGGTGTTGCATAGGCCTGTATTGTATATTATCAGCCGTGCGAAACAGGAAGATGAAAAGTGTCCACTGTAAGTGATAATTTGTAACGAGTTTGTTGAGAGGCAAGATTCACTAACCTTGCAGGAGCAGTCATTATTGTCGAAGTGTACAGCTGTTATTTCCGCTTAGTGCCAACGATAACAGCTGGATGGCAATGATTCTCAACATACTGCATCTTACGTTTCACCGGTCATTTTGTCCCCCCCCCCCAAAAAACATAATTTTACTGCTGCAAATGAAAATCTTTTTTTCTTTCAAGTACTGTATTCTTACAATTACGTACATATTGTTATTAGATCCATCATTAATGGATATTCTTAAGAACCCAAAGGCTGTAACAATTTTTTTACTGAATTTCACGAATATAATCACACAAAAACAATATGTTTTTGTCTCCAGAAATACTGTTATAGTGCAATATTAATGAGAAATTTACTATTAACATGAAAAACAGTATTTGTGAGATCGGATTAATTTTTGTTATTTTCGAGATCTCATTTCTCACCAGACCGATATTGAAGCCCGACCGGTGGGACACGTCCCACATGGTGAGAAACATTGTCTTATTGCACGAGTAATTCAAACGATGAAGACAAGTATGACGCTGATACTGACAGCGCATAATTTCGCCTATCGAGTTCCCGCAACAACAATATAATTCAGTTAAGTACTTTTATATACGCACTTCAAATGTTAATTATCATATGAAAAATAAACAAAACGCCGTTGGAAAGTGACGTCTACTGTCCTTCAAATGTTTCACTTCTAGTAAATTTTGCAAGAAATATAGTACAGTGAAATACAATATTATGGTATAATTTCCTATATTACTCACTCATGGTGCCGAACCCTTCTTGAAAAGCCCCCAGTTGTGTAGCTACTCAAGAACTTCCCAGCATTTTATGGAACCCGAAGGTTCATTATCGTTTTCGCAAGAGCCCTACACTGGTCCCTATCCTGAGCCAGATTGATCCAGTCCAAACCATCCCAACCTATCTCTCTAAGATCCATTTTAATATTGTCCACCCACCTACGTCTTGCTCTTCCTTATGGTCTCTTTCCTTAAGGCTTTTCCACCAGTATCCTATATGCATTCATTTTCGCCACCATTCGTACTACATTCCCTGTCCATCTCATCATCCTTGACTTGATCATTCTAATTATACCTGGAGAATAGTACAAGTTATGAAGCTCCTCATTATGCAGTTTTCTCCAACCTCCTGTCACTTCATCTCTCTTCCATCCAAATATCCTACATATTACTGACTTCCTGGATCTGAGATTCTCACAGCGGTGATTATGAAGAGCTCCATTTTCTGTGATACAGCGCTGTGCAGTCCTGTGAAAGCCAACCGACGATCCGCGGTGTCTCACACCACCCACGTCTTCAGGGTCGACAAGTAAGCCAAGCATCAAACCAGCAAGAACCATGCCGCCTCTGCTTCATTCCGATTTCTTGTTTGACTTACTATTCGACCCTGAAGAAGGAAGCTATATAGTCCTCGTAAACTTCAATTTACTTTCACGGGACTACACGATGTTTTATCGCCAAAGAAGAATTCTTCAATATTAAACTGAGGTTAGGAGCAAGAAGATGTGAAGATGTCTAACGTGTTCCACTGGTAGAAGACACGGTCAAATATCGGGTAATTCTGAACGCGGTTAAACAGGACTAAGAAATAGTTAAATTAACCACAAATATAACAAAATAATAATCATTTGGAGCCTTGAACTACACAAATCTTGGCCCATATTAAAGTCACGTACCCTCCCCTATATCGGGGGGCACGCGGTAGGATAGTTGGTTGAGGTACTATGCTAAGGTCGTGGGTTCAAGTCCCGACGACGGCGTTGAATTTATTTCAATTGACCTAATCCTTCCGGCCGCACTATGGCCCTGGGGTCGACTCAGCCACTAACAGAAATGAGTACCAGGAATTAATAAATACTTTTCCTGGGGAGTAAAGCGCGGCCGGCACGTAAGGCTGACAACCTTACCGCCATCTTTGAGCCGATTGTCTAGCAAATGTAGGAACCTCAACATCTCACAACTCCATGGGCCTCCAGGGCCTGTTACAGGGATAGCATTACTTTTTACTTTACCCTCCTTTAGATCTCCGTCAACAAAATACAGTGTAAAGGTACAGATATCCCTGTGCGTAACTAATTAAGCACTATTCCATGAAGGCGTATGGGAGAGTGGATGTATAGATCCACGTTTTATTGACCTCGGCACTAGTTGGAGATGAGTGGCCAGCTTCACGCCTCGGCCGCTTTACCCCCGGGGAAAGAGCCCCCGGTACCCATTGGATAGGAGGTTAGGTGGACCCTCTGAGAAGAGGAAATTCTCGACACTACAGGGACTCGACCGACTGCGCTTACTGTGTAACATGAAGGAATTATAAATTTAATCTGTTAATAATACAAGCCATCTGACACATTCTGCAACTGCCTCATTCTCTTTAGAGATTTTCTGTAGAACTGTCACATTGTTACCAACATACAATTAACCTCATCGTGGTATTTTCCGCTGCACAATCAGCTGAGTATGTCCAGGTTTAGCCTGTGAGCAATATAGTGAATGACAATTGGATGCAAATTTAATGCTGACAGCAAATATGATCCGCATTTACGTAATGATCACTTCACCAAAAATAAAATAATGTTAACAAAACAAAATTTCAGTGATCACTGCAATATATCTATGGCTCTACAGCCTTTTCCTGAACCTCAGCCGCTCTTTCAGTTTCTCGATATTTTGCATAGTCGGTAGGACTAATTGAATGAGGGATCAGCTCGTGGAACCTGCAATATATGTACAAACTAGAAATCCATGGAATAGGATACTATGCTTTAGGCTCTGCTACATTGTTTCTCAGATTTTCTAATTTAATATCAATTAATGTCGTAAAATATATGTATATGCTATATTAAATGAAGTTTACCTTACCCGGACCACAGAAAAGAGCGTGATTCTTTTCTAGGGTACCGTCTGATAACGTTGTCATGCCTCCAAGCAACAAACACGCTAATACTTCGCATGTATGGAAGGTATCATTGGCACGCTCTTGTCACTTCGTTATGGTTCTTTGAAAATTTAAGTTGTACTTCAGAGCATTAATTACTTAATACAGCAGTACTTTTAAGAGTTCAAATAACAGGTTCTCGCATATTATTTTCCTTATTAAAAGTTATACATGAGAAAGTTAAAGGAAATTCACATCACTCCCTCGTATTTTTATTGGAACATCACGCAGACTCTCACTGAATTCAAAGTTTCATGGCATTGTGATTCATAACGTGCTGTTCCCTCGATATCAGTGAACAATATATCATTACTGAAGGTCTTTCTAACTCATAAGCGAGTACAAACCTGGCAATTAAAGTAAAATAATATGCATTAACTTTAAAGGATATAACCAACTAGAGACCCAGGATGTTCACACCTTCATTCCGTGCAGATTACGACACAGAATTACGTAACAATGTCGTGAATATAATAGCAATCTTCGTGTATAATTATGCCGTAAATTTAAGC